ATCAGTGCGGAGTTGTGAAGCTGCCTTTAATTTTCGACCTGTTTTTTTTAACCAACATTTAAAAACATTTTCCAGAGCTCCAGACTTTGTTGTGAACGCAGCACCAGAGTTTCGAGTTTGCAATGGTGAAAAGGATTGTTATGTAGCCGTTAGTAGAGAGGACAGGGGATGGACAAAGCTAACTCGCCTGATTGCTGAATTCTAATGGTGAGCATGGCCAATATTTAGCTCATGATCACTTCTCGGTTATGATAATTCATATATTTTCTTTTAAAGTGATTGTCTGGAGTTTGTCAGAAAGAGAGACGGAGAGGTAATTGATTTGAAAAAAACGACGCAACCTCCCCCTTTTCTGATTGGTCCACGCCTACATTTCCGCAACACTTTTAAATGTTAATCAGAGAAAACATTATACTGTACATATACATTATTAATACACATGCACGGAGGTTTTCAGAATTATTTGTTAAAGTTTTAATGAAAAAAATGTTTTTATTCACCAAAAAAAGCGATCGCTGCAAACCCGGAAGAAGGTATTATCATGAATTGCACATTATAGGACACATCTGCAGGGGATCTGATTATGGATATAGGTTCAGTATATAAATGATTATGGATATAGGTTCAGTATATAAATGATTATGGATATAGGTTCAGTATATAAATGATTATGGATATAGGTTCAGTATATAATGGAGGCTTGATTTGGAGGCTCAGCAAAAACAAACAACTGAGCATGAGCAGCTGCGAGCATCAGCGCGATGATTGACAGCCCTTGGCATGACTTGGGCGTGACTGTTTACATCTGAGCCCCCTCGGACCCCACCGCACTCCCCCGCCTCCTTCTCACCAGCACCGGGTGAGTACAACGGTGCAAACACTGCTCCCTGTCCGTCTGGCAGTGCATTACCAGTCCAAACACTGAACTGTGCTGACTCCCTTCTGACTCTGGGAGCTAAAGAACAACAAGGGTTTTCACATTTTAGGCCAATTGAGACTGTGTGTGTTCCTCGCACCAGCTCAAAAATGTTTTTAAATTCTAAAAAACGAAATCAAAACAGGACAGCAGTTAGACGGTCCAACTCTGCAAATCTAATTTCTGTTCCCTGTAGAAATCAATCAACCACATTAATCGACTCTGACGTTATTTTTAAACTTGCTATGCTTAATGTCAGATCTCTATGTAACAAATCATTTTTAATTAATAATTTTATCACTTCTTATGATCTTGATTTCATGCTTATGGCTGAAACATGGCTGGACCAAAATACAGGAAATGCAGTTCTAATAGAAGCAACACCACCCAATTTTAAATTCGAATCCGAAATACGAGAAAACAAAAGGGGGGGAGGCATAGCTGCAGTTTTTAGAGAGCACTTTGTCTCCCATAGAATGCCCCTTGGAAATGTTTCATCGTTTGAGTATATTTCTTTTAAAATGGAACAAAAGCAATCTTCTACTCTTTTCATTGTCCTGTACAGGCCACCACAGTCATGTTGCGATTTTATTGACCATTTTACTGAACTACTTTCATTCGTGTGCACAGATTTTGATAGTTTAGTTATTACAGGTGATTTTAATGTACATGTTGATAATGTTGATGACAGAAATGCAAAGGAGCTGGCTTCTGTATTTGAGACCTTTGGTTTCATTCAGCACGTGAGTGGCCCCACCCACAGCAGGGGGCACACTCTTGACCTGCTAATTACAAAGGGGGTTAATGTATCAAATGTTAATGTAGTTGATGTTGCTTTGTCAGATCATTTCTGTGTATTTTTTGACATGTGTTTTGCTAGCAAACCACCAGCTGAATTTACAACTGTTAGAAGAAGACACATACATGAAAACACAAGTGAACTGTTCATGGGAATGCTAAATTTTGAGAAAACTCCATGCTCTACTGTTGATGAATTGTATAACTCTGTCACCACCAGTGTTCTGACTGTTCTGGACGCCATTGCTCCTGTGACGGTTAAAATAGTTACCAGTAAGAAAAAGGCCCCATGGACTAAGGCAGACTCGGTTAGGGCACAGAAGCAAGAGTGCCGGAGGGCCGAACGGAAGTGGCGAAAGTCCAATTTCCAGGGCGATTATGAAATCTTTAAAGATGAGTTGGGTGAATTTAACCGGGTTCTACGTAGAACAAGAGAAATGTATTTTTCTGACATTATTGGAGGTTGCAGTAACAATTTTCGTGTTATGTTTTCAACAGTTGGTAGATTAACAAACCCCCCTGTAAAGTTGCCCCTAGAATTTTCCTCTAAATCTAGGTGTAATGAGTTCGCACAGTTTTTCGATGACAAAGTACAAGGCATCAAAAACACTATCACCTCCACAGCACGTATAACAATGCAACAGCCAGAGAAGCTTTCTGAGCTAACTCACTTTGCACCTGTGGATACTGAAACTGTCAAAAAGATAATCATGAGTCTGAGCTCCTCCACATGTAGCCTGGATATATTGCCCTCTAAATTTCTGAAGTCCGTCCTGAGCAGTTTGTTACCTTCACTGACACAAATAGTAAACATGTCTCTGTCGTCAGGAACATTTCCTATGGCCCTAAAAACAGCAGTCATAAGACCTCTCCTAAAAAAGAGCAGTCTGGATCCTGCGGGACTTCAAAATATCGCCCCATATCGAATCTGCCATTTATTGGAAAAATTCTTGAAAAAGTGGCCTCCCAACAACTTACTGAATTTTTAACAATGAATAATTCTTTTGATATGTTCCAGTCTGGGTTTAGACCCCACCACAGCACTGAGACCGCTCTAGTGAAGGTAACAAACGACATTCGACTTCACACTGATGCAGGTAAAGTCACAGTTTTGGTCATGTTAGATCTTAGTGCCGCGTTCGACACTGTCGACCATGAGATCCTCATGCAGAGACTGGAGGACTGGGCTGGTGTCACTGGCACAGCCCTAGACTGGTTTAGGTCTTACCTGGAGGATAGGAAGTACTCTGTGGAGATTGGAGACTGGCGTCTCAGATGATGTGGCCCTGACCTGTGGTGTACCACAGGGGTCGATCCTGGGACCTCTCCTATTTAATCTCTACATGCTGCCGTTAGGTCAGTTAATACAAAGAAACAAAGTGTCCTACCACAATTACGCTGACGACACTCAGATCTATGTCTCACTGACTGCAGGAGAACATGGACCACTGGATTTGCTCCTTCACTGTATCCAACAGATCAGTGACTGGATGCAAAATAATTTCCTCCAGCTAAATACAGACAAAACCGAAATCATTGTCTTTGGTCCCCAGAAACAAAGAGAGGGCGTCATTTGTCAACTTCAGTCTCTCTCCCTACTTCCCTCAGACAAGGTCAGAAATTTGGGGGTAATACTGGACTCAGACCTAAATTTCAATAGCCACATAAAATCAATAACATCAACAGCTTTTTACCATCTGAAGAACATTGCCAAAGTTAGAAATATAGTGTCCAGGGCAGACTTGGAGATTCTTGTCCATGCATTTGTCTCCAGCAGGCTAGACTACTGCAATGGCCTGCTTACAGGTCTGTCCAAACAGACCTGTAAGCAGCTGCAGTACATCCAAAATGCAGCAGCTAGAGTCCTGACAGGAACCAGGAAGTATGACCATATTAGTCCGGTCCTCAGGTCTCTGCACTGGCTTCCTGTGGCTCAAAGAATAGATTTTAAAACGGCTCTGCTTGTGTACAAGTCTCTCCATGGCCTTGCACCAGAATACATTAGTGACATGTTGGTGTCATATGAACCAGCCCGGACTCTGAGGAGCACAGGGACTGGCCTCCTGCTGGTGCCCAGAGTGAGAACCAAACATGGGGAGGCTGCGTTTCAGATCCATGCAGCTAAGATCTGGAACAATCTCCCTGAAAATGTGAGGGAGGCGTCTACTCTGTCAATGTTCAAATCCAGGTTAAAGACTGTTCTGTTTGCCTGTGCATACAACTGAAGGATTTTATCTCCATTTTTAATGCACTGCTGTCATTTATTTATTTTTTTAAATTTCTTGTGTAATTTTGAAAGTTTTAATGGTTTTATTCTTTTGTGTGATTTTAATGTTTTAATTGTGTTTTAATCTTTTGTGTGATTTTAATGTTTTAATTGTGATTCTGGTGTTTGTTTTATGTGATGATTTGTGATGTGGACTGTGAAGCGCTTTGTGTTGCCATGTGTATGAAAGGCGCTCTACAAATAAACTTTGATTGATTGATTGATTGATTGGTTAACGTGGACGGCATCGTGGATTCTGAGCTATAGCAAAGAGAAGGGAAGGCGGGACTTACCCGTAATATTAGAATTAATAAAATGACTTATTTTATATCAACATTTAAGGCCAGGAGGTAAATTTAACACATTTCCTAAAATTTGTAATTCATTTAGAGTTACAGACTATCACTTTAAGAACCAAATCTTTCATACTCCAACGCGCTATTTTGGGCTTAAAAACTGTATTTTTTCTTGGCCTAAGATGCTGTGGAGGTGTACAGCCCAAAATGCACAACATCAATGCTACTTTATCATTTGTCATACTTCACATTGTAGGCCACAGGCCTGGCCTTATATATCCGTACACTCCGCTCAATCATTTCACTGCATGTAACGTCTGGTCCCTGTGTTAGCGAATACAAGCGGTTGTATTTCGACCGGCTACTCAGAGCGCGTTGTAGGTCGGTGCCGGTGACGTCAAGAGTTTGCGTCGAACGGGCAGGTTGTAGTTTGGCAATGGCGAAGAATGCGGTAGAACCAGACCGGATTACTTTACTATCAAGAAATTGAAGCCGGAGTAAGAAGATTGTTTAGCAAATGTAACGCTGTCAAAATGGTGGCGCTACTCCCCACGGGCGTAACTAACTCTTCACGGTTCATAGTGTCTGCAATAACCACCCCATGGACTGGGACAGCACAAGAATCAACCAGGAACCCAATAGAAATGCTGGATCAGAGAAGCTGTAGAAATCAGGAACCGTGGCAATAAAGGAGTTTATATAAAATCACCGACTTAAGACTTACCTGCATGACCGCCCGGCTTGCCCTGGTGGCGGACCGGCTTGGCTTCTGAACCAGGGTGGCGGCCCGGCTTGCCCTGGTGGCGGCCCGGCTTGGCTTCTGAACCAGGGTGGTGGTCCGGTTCGGGGTGCCCGAGTCCTGTGGAACGGACATTCTGTAGTCAAAGTGATAGTCTGGAACTCTGAATTAAAAAAATTAAGAATTGTATTAAACTGACCTCCTCGCCTTAAATGTTGATATAAAATAAGTCATTTTATTAATTCTAATATTACGGGCAAGTCCTGCCTTCCCTTCTCTTAGCTATAGCTCTGAATCCACGATGCCGTCGAGGTTAACCAATCGAGTCATGCCAAGGGCTGTCAATCATCATCGCTGATACTGAACCTATATCCATAATCAGATCCTCTGCAGATGTTCCTATAATGTTATAATAGCTACTTCCGGGTTTACCGCGATCACTTTTTTGTGCATTAAAACATTGGCTCCAAGGTTTTACTTTCCCCACTGGGTTTGAGACACAGGAGGGTCTAAGGCCAATGACCTTTAACACATTATTCATCTACCCCTATGGACCAATAGGTCCCATGTGTTTGATCAGAAACATGTTATTGTATTTCCTGTGTTCAGTCAGGGTTTTTGGAATAGACACCTTTGTGAAAAACCAAGGCTGGCTGTTGTAGACGCTGCAGCCTTCCAGACGAGGGCATTACAGGAGTCTAGTTTAGAGGTGATACAGAAACTGGTGCATGCCTTTGACGTGAGAAAGGGATGAGTTTTGCAATGATCGATTGTAAAAATGGTCTGTTCTGATTTACAGCTGTACAATAAGAGTATTTAAGAAGGTGTTCATGCCAAAAATGAACACTGAATACTTACCTGCCTGACCATCTTTGTGATGGCGTCCTGGCTTTCCATGGAGACGGCCCGGCCTGCCATGGTGGCGTCCTGGTTTTTCATGGAGATGGCCCGGCCTTCCTTGATGGTGGCCTGGCTTTCTGCCGTGGTCGTCTGTCTCACCGTGGAGGTGGCCAGGCTTTGGCTGGCTGTGTCCTGTGCAACAGACAGTCTCAGATCTGTGTATTCGGGTATGTCTGGTCACCCAATATAAGAACAGGGTTTAAAACTCTGGCAGTGCCCCCGGGGGCCCTGCTGTGGTGGGGGTCTGGCTATACTAGATCATATACGGAACTAACAATCCTACTTTCGAATTAGTTTTAGACTAATCAGTTCTTAAGTGGTGACTGGTTAAGTTTTAGGCGTCTGAGTAAGATGGTTAAGGTTAGGGTTAAGGTGGTCTGAGTAAGATGGTTAAGGTTAGGGTTAAGGTGGTCTGAGTAAGATGGTTAAGGTTAGGGTTAAGGTGGTCTGAGTAAGATGGTTAAGGTTAGGGTTAAGGTGGGCTGAGTAAGATGGTTAAGGTTAAGGTGGTCTGAGTAAGATGGTTAAGGTTAGGGTTAAGGTGGGCTGAGTAAGATGGTTAAGGTTAGGGTTAAGGTGGGCTGAGTAAGATGGTTAAGGTTAGGGTTAAGGTGGGCTGAGTAAGATGGTTAAGGTTAGGGTTAAGGTGGTCTGAGTAAGATGGCTAAGGTTAGGGTTAAGGTGGTCTGAGTAACATGGTTAAGGTTAGGGTTAAGGTGGTCTGAGTAAGATGGTTAAGGTTAGGTTTAAGGTGGTCTGAGTAAGATGGTTAAGGTTAGGGTTAAGGTGGTCTGAGTAAGATGGTTAAGGTGGGTTGGGGTTATTTTATGGGAATGGCTGGTTAAGTTTAGGCATAAAAAGGTAGTTATATTTACTTACGCTTCCGTATATGATCTAGTGCTGACCATCTGGCTATAGGCACTTTTGTCCTGTGGAACAGACAGTCTGGGATCTACAATTCTCTAAGGGTAGATTTGAAAATGTAACAGTATTTTAGTTACATTTGAAGCCAAATAAAAGATGAATGGACAGAGCGAGTCCGAGTGAGATGGTTGAGGAACCCCCTGCACAGGCCTACGGTCGACAACTTCATAATCTTTGGCAGAGGGCCAATAATAAATGTGATTTTTTCGTAAGGTCGTCTCACAAAAGGGTAAAATCCCTCTTGACTTTCCCTGACGTCTACTACTCAATGGTTTTCTAAGAATGCTCACTACAAAGCTGTTATCTGCAGCTTTGGCAGAGTTCTGACAATGTCAAGAGTACAATGTTTTGAGTTTTTAACTATGTGTGATATTAAAAACAGAATAAAATATCTTGTGCCCTTATTGCGTTTAATGTTTTATGATATATGCATGTTGTGAACAAATAAAAGATGATCGATTCTCAGACGCCCTCCTTTCCGTCCCAATTTAGCCCACTTTGCAGAGTGTCCTTTAGAAAGATCAGATTGTTTTGCTCCTCCATTCTAATAAAAGTTTGATCTCTGGTTTAGACTGTATAGACTTAAACTCCTCGGTTGCCTGTTCCACGCAGACCGGTTCTGCTTTCGCAGTTGGAATCCTTAACTAGTGGCTGTTGTCGGCCTGGTCAGGTGTACAGTCTCCAACGCCACAGTGGCCTCCAGACAGTCACAGGATGAGAACAGGTGGAAGTCGTTTTTTCCTGCTGGTGTTCTCTGGAACCAGGGTCTTGCCCAGTGTGTGGTCCTGGCATTCCTTCAATCCCTTCTGGACTCAGCCTGTACTTTAAATGTATATTGTACAACCATAAGTAATCTTAGCTTGGTTGATCACCATAACTTTGCTTCTATGCCTGGGTCTCAGTCGCCAGGCCTCAGGGTTTGAGTCTCTGCCATCCTTTGTATGAGCCTTTCATCAAGTGACTTATGACTTCCTGTGTGCTATGGTCCCAGCAAAAACCGTTTGAGATACTTTCCATCAGTCCCTCTTGCCTCAGTTGGAAACCTGAAAATCCCAGATTTACCGTACGACCAAACTGCTCCAAAAGTGACCGTTGTAACTGGCTGTGGTGCTAGACTGTCCACTTTCTCCCCTTTCCCACTGGGTTGTTATCCACCATCCATCTCTCAGCCAGCTGCAAGCAGGTACCGGAGGGGAGGGCCAGCTCCATCAGGTCCGTCTCCACCTCCAGGAAAGCTATGAATGAAGTTTCTCTTGGCACCGTATGTGCTGCTGCTTCTTTGGAATGTCCACCATGTTCTACGACATCAGTCAGAGGATATTCTATACAGATCCATTTCCCTTTTACTCTGGACTGACCTGAACCATGGAGTCCTCCCCTTCGACCTTTGTGTCCACGCTTCCTTTTTCCATGACTGTCAGAGTGGTCATCACTGTCTGACCTCCGACCTGCCAAAGAAAGGGATAAGATATTAATCCAGTTCACTTTGAAATAAGCTGTATAAAGTAGTTTCATGTTATCAAGAAAGGGAACGCAGAGACACCTACTAAAATGATGCTAATGATTAATGCTAATCTTACCAACAACAATGAATGATGCACACTACTCCTGGTTAGGACCATCAGCATCCATGGCTCTGGACCAGAGACGGGGCTCACAAGTCACTTTTTAACACGGTATATATTTTTTTTAATCTAATTTGAAACTAAAAACTCAGGTTCAGGACTTCCCTCAGGACCGGTGTAGGGCACAGACATGAGTTATGCAGTGACGGACATTGAGTGGGGGCACAGACCTGAGCGTGCCCAGGGACGGCCTTCTGAGCGGTCCTTCTCACGGCGGCCCTTTCTCGCAGACCTCCCCCGGGATCGTGGGGCCTCCTCCAGCTCATAGAGTTGAAGGAGCCCATCAGCGTGGCGCCTCCTGGAGCTCCTCCTCCTCCTCCTCCTTCTGTCAGACTCACAGATGATCTCCTCGAGTACATCTTTGTGCAGGAGTTTGTCGAAGCAGCGCAGTCGCACAGAGCAGGTCGAGGCGTTCATCTGAAACATGAAGCCATTGTACCATGATCACCACGTAATAAATCCTTTTTAAAGACTTTTCAAAACTAGATTTAAGGATGTGATTAAAGAGTCACCTTCAGGTCAATTAAATGCAAGAACTTATTGTACAATTACATGTTTGGGACAATCTTTAACATGTTAGTAACTGCAGCTTTTCATTTTCATCTGTCCCAGTTCAGGTTCACTGAGAATCCAGCTCTATTCTGATCAGCTCAAAGTAAAGACTATGGACCAAACTACCAAATATGGCACCTCGACAGAAAGGTGGGGCTAAAGGGACGGGTTGGAATAGGTCTGGCAGGTAGCAGAGCCGCCTTGGCCCCTTCTTGAGGGTGTTTATAGAGTCCAGTCCAGTCTGTGGTTCTGGTGAACTATAGAAGTGGATTTACCTGAACATCTGCGGAGCCTGCAGGAGACAACACCAGCACAGTCCAGTCCTCAGAGACCGAGGAGCCAACATCTGCACCTGAAACACACATGCAGAGTTACACCCCATCAGCCACACCTCCGCGGGGGGGGGGGGGGACCCAGCCACACCTCCGCGGGGGGGGGGGGACCCAGCCACAATGCACTCTGCTTTGACTCTTAAATATAATTCCGAACGTCATTTGGTTGTACATTAAGTAAGTTCTCTCACCGAGTTTATGGAAAACTGGTAGAATTATGGACTTGTGTGATCTTTTGCAAATTTATTCCTATGTGTTTTTACTGCAAATTGCAAATAAAGGAATCTGATCTTTGTGAAATGCGCAGTATAAAAAACATCCAAGACCAGAGCAAAGGCCGTTCTGTTTTTTTAATCATCTGCTGCACTTCTGTGAATCCATCGAGTCGCAGCCAAAGACAGACCAGACCAGACCTCAGCAGCTGTGGTTGGACTGAACACTTTGGGTTCAGAAAGACGTTTACAGTTGATCCACGACTTTGGAAACGGTCATTCGTCAGAAAGATTAAAGGAGGCGCACACTCGTGGATCATGTGCACTTTACCCCCAGCACCTCCTCCTGAAGCCTTTAGCTGCTGCTGAATATATATATATATATCTTTGCTCTTTCAATTGAATCCAAAAGGTCTTCCTCACATGTGTAAACTTATATCCTGGATCTTCTATATAATACGGTGTGTTATGGTGTGTACCGTGAGAGTCCCCTGTGACATTGAGGCAGGAGAAGCGCTGGGTTGAGATCCACAAAGTCACCGAACCGTTTCTGCAGCTGCACCAGGAGCTCACATCCAGGACGCCCTCTGCTGGAGAAACACACACACACAACACCCTGAAACACACTGCTGGAGAAACACACACAACACCCTGAAACAGACACTCTGCTGGAGAAACACACACACAACACCCTGAAACACACACTCTGCTGGAGAAACACACACACAACACCCTGAAACAGACACTCTGCTGGAGAAACACACACACAACACCCTGAAACAGACACTCTGCTGGAGAAACACACACACACACCCTGAAACAGACACTCTGCTGGAGAAACACACACACACAACACCCTGAAACACACACTCTGCTGGAGAAACACACACACAACACCCTGAAACAGACACTCTGCTGGAGAAACACACACACAACACCCTGAAACAGACACTCTGCTGGAGAAACACACACACAACACCCTGAAACACACACTCTGCTGGAGAAACACACACACAACACCCTGAAACACACACTCTGCTGGAGAAACACACACAAACACCCTGAAACAGACACTCTGCTGGAGAAACACACACAACACCCTGAAACACACACTCTGCTGGAGAAACACACACAATACCCTGAAACACACACTCTGCTGGAGAACACACACACACTCTGCTGGAGAAACACACACAACACCCTGAAACACACACTCTGCTGGAGAAACACACACACACACACACAACACACCCTGAAACACACACTCTGCTGGAGAAACAACAACACCCTGAAACACACACTCTGCTGGAGAAACACACACAACACCCTGAAACACACACTCTGCTGGAGAAACACACACACACACACACAACACACCCTGAAACACACACTCTGCTGGAGAAACAACAACACCCTGAAACACACACTCTGCTGGAGAAACACACACACAACACCCTGAAACAGACACTCTGCTGGAGAAACACACACACAACACCCTGAAACAGACACTCTGCTGGAGAAACACACACACAACACCCTGAAACACACACTCTGCTGGAGAAACACACACACAATACCCTGAAACACACACTCTGCTGGAGAAACACACACACAACACCCTGAAACACACACTCTGCTGGAGAAACACACACACACAATACCCTGAAACACACACTCTGCTGGAGAAACACACACACAATACCCTGAAACAGACACTCTGCTGGAGAAACAACAACACCCTGAAACACACACTCTGCTGGAGAAACACACACACAACACCCTGAAACACACACTCTGCTGGAGAAACACACACACAACACCCTGAAACACACACTCTGCTGGAGAAACACACACAATACCCTGAAACACACACTCTGCTGGAGAACACACACACACTCTGCTGGAGAAACACACACAACACCCTGAAACACACACTCTGCTGGAGAAACACAACACAACACCCTGAAACACACACTCTGCTGGAGAAACACACACAACACCCTGAAACACACACTGCTGGAGAAACACACAACACAACACCCTGAAACACACACTCTGCTGGAGAAACACACACACAACACCCTGAAACACACACTCTGCTGGAGAAACACACACAATACCCTGAAACACACACTCTGCTGGAGAACACACACACACTCTGCTGGAGAAACACACACAACACCCTGAAACACACACTCTGCTGGAGAAACACAACACAACACCCTGAAACACACACTCTGCTGGAGAAACACACACAACACCCTGAAACACACACTGCTGGAGAAACACACAACACAACACCCTGAAACACACACTCTGCTGGAGAAACACACACACAACACCCTGAAACAGACACTCTGCTGGAGAAACACACACACAACACCCTGAAACACACTCTGCTGGAGAAACACACACACAACACCCTGAAACAGACACTCTGCTGGAGAAACACACACACAACACCCTGAAACACACACTCTGCTGGAGAAACACACACAATACCCTGAAACACACACTCTGCTGGAGAAACACACACACACTCTGCTGGAGAAACACACACAACACCCTGAAACACACACTCTGCTGGAGAAACACACACACACAACACCCTGAAACACACACTCTGCTGGAGAAACACACACACACAACACCCTGAAACACACACTCTGCTGGAGAAACACACACACACACACAACACACCCTGAAACAGACACTCTGCTGGAGAACACACACACAACACCCTGAAACACACACTCTGCTGGAGAAACACACACACAACACCCTGAAACACACACTCTGCTGGAGAAACACACACAACACCCTGAAACACACACTCTGCTGGAGAACACACACACACTCTGCTGGAGAAACACACGCAACACCCTGAAACACACACTCTGCTGGAGAAACACACACACAACACCCTGAAACAGACACTCTGCTGGAGAAACACACACACAACACCCTGAAACACACACTGCTGGAGAAACACACACACACAACACCCTGAAACACACACTCTGCTGGAGAAACACACAACACCCTGAAACACACACACTGCTGGAGAAACACACACACACACAACACCCTGAAACACACACTCTGCTGGAGAAACACACAACATAACACCCTGAAACACACACCCTGCTGGAGAAACACAACACAACACCCTGAAACACACACTCTGCTGGAGAAACACACACACAACACCCTGAAACACACACACTCTGCTGGAGAAACACACACACAACACCCTGAAACACACACTTTATAACAAAAACACAACATTAAGGAGTGACCAAGTGTTTTTCTTTGACAGTTACTGCACATTCCTCATTATATTCTATTTATTATATATGCACTGTACACTAATATATTTTATATTCATTACATTCATATTGTGTACTACTGTCACAGTGTGTTTAAAATCCCATCAAGTCTTCCGTGAGGTCTCCGCTGTAGCCTGCCCCCTATTGGCTGATCTGTGCCACGTTCAAGATACTCCACTTTGAGCAATATTTAATTCAAGAGATTTAAGAATCTGGAGCTCCAGCCCAGGTCTCTGCAGAGCGACATTTCTCTGCTTCACTAAATTATATTATTCTTGCTTTTGGCAATAAACTCCAAAGACCTGAGCTGGTTCTACTTTTAAACCAATCAAGAGTCCAAGAGAATCACTGCTCAGCCAATCAGCAGCTGTGCCACATTACAGTTTTTTCCTGTTGCTTGAACACAGTTTGCAAAATTTCGCTCAAAGTCCCAAAACTCTACACACACGAGAACCTGACACAACACTGGGACATAAACCAGACACATCTGTGTCAAAACTCAAACTCTGCTCTCAAAACTCAAACTCTGCTCTCAAAACTCAAACTCTGCTCTCAAAACTCAAACTCTGCTCTCAAAACTCAAACTCTGCTCTCAAAACTCAAACTCTGCTCTCAAAACTCAAACTCTGCTCTCAAAACTCAAACTCTGCTCTCAAAACTCAAACTCTGCTCTCAAAACTCAAACTCTGCTCTCAAAACTCAAACTCTGCTCTCAAAACTCAAACTCTGCTCTCAAAACTCAAACTCTGCTCTCAAAACTCAAACTCTGCTCTCAAAACTCAAACTCTGCTCTCAAAACTCAAACTCTGCTCTCAAAACTCAAACTCTGCTCTCAAAACTCAAACTCTGCTCTCAAAACTCAAACTCTGCTCTCAAAACTCAAACTCTGCTCTCAAAACTCAAACTCTGCTCTCAAAACTCAAACTCTGCTCTCAAAACTCAAACTCTGCTCTCAAAACTCAAACTCTGCTCTCAAAACTCAAACTCTGCTCTCAAAACTCAAACTCTGCTCTCAAAACTCAAACTCTGCTCTCAAAACTCAAACTCTGCTCTCAAAACTCAAACTCTGCTCTCAAAACTCAAACTCTGCTCTCAAAACTCAAAAACTCAAACTCTGCTCTCAAAACTCAAACTCTGCTCTCAAAACTCAAACTCTGCTCTCAAAACTCAAACTCTGCTCTCAAAACTCAAACTCTGCTCTCAAAACTCAAACTCTGCTCTCAAAACTCAAACTCTGCTCTCAAAACTCAAACTCTGCTCTCAAAACTCAAACTCTGCTCTCAAAACTCAAACTCTGCTCTCAAAACTCAAACTCTGCTCTCAAAACTCAAACTCTGCTCTCAAAACTCAAACTCTGCTCTCAAAACTCAAACTCTGCTCTCAAAACTCAAACTCTGCTCTCAAAACTCAAACTCTGCTCTCAAAACTCAAACTCTGCTCTCAAAACTCAAACTCTGCTCTCAAAACTCAAACTCTGCTCTCAAAACTCAAACTCTGCTCTCAAAACTCAAACTCTGCTCTCAAAACTCAAACTCTGCTCTCAAAACTCAAACTCTGCTCTCAAAACTCAAACTCTGCTCTCAAAATTAAACAATCATTCGTCAAAATGAAACTCTGAGGACAAAATGACACACACTTGCATCACGTGAACACACTTTCAGATTGAAAGCAACACACTACAGTACTTTATATAAAACACTGCAGTCATTTTCACTGTTTTTATTCTCTTTATCAGTTAGTTTTCTGTGAAGCTCAATGGAACTGTTTTTGTTCTCTGTAACACTGAAAGGTTACACATAATATAAACTCAATACAGTACAGTACTACAGTATACTTTACAGTACAGTACTACAGTATACTTTACAGTACAGTACTACAGTATACTTTACAGTACAGTACTACAGTATACTTTACAGTACAGTACTACAGTATACTTTACAGTACAGTACAATTGTGTCAATGCAGTAAAACAAAAAAACTCTAATGTAAAACTGAGCAGTTGTGAGTGTGTGGGTTATGGATCATGGTTCATGGTCTAACTATTTCCACGAAGGCAAGTTCATGTTGTTGGTGAACAGTTGCCGACCACCTCCGGATGTTCTTTTAGTCATTTTGTATAAATATGAAACCACAAATTGTTACTATAGGTTTAGTTTTTTTACAGTACAAATGTACACAGTACTGTTATATCTCAGTTTTATCTACTTTACCATCTTGTATGTTTCACAAAACTACATTTCTTTCAAAAAGGAGCAATAGCCAACTTGCAAAACAGTACATGTGATACAGAACAGTACTGTAAATACTGTACGTACAGTCTGCAGTAGAGCATTGGAAACATGTAGGTCCTGAAGGACCTTGTCTGGACTCTCTGCTTCCCTCAGTTTGAGGCGGTGGTTTATCACAAGATCCACAAAAGTTGCTCTAATGTCATAAAAATATTGTGTTGTTTTAATCCTCTTAAACTCCTTGTCTTCCTCTGTCTTGCTCTTCCTGCCTTCAAACTTGCAAAGTTCTGAAAATGGCTAAACTGAAGCCTGTTTGTGTCTGTCTGATGTGTGTTGCATTTTGTAATTCAGTGTTTTCTGGTGTGTGTCTCAGTGTTTTTAGTCACACAATGTGTTTGGTATTTTGAATAGATGTGTTTTCCCAACGATAACTCAGGATTGCCAATATGCACAAAGTGTCTTATGTATGACACAGTGTGTAGTGAGCAGGAGAAAGTGTGTTGCAAAAGGAGAAAGTGTGTTGTAGAAATGAAAGTAGAGTGCAAAGCAGTACTTTTGTTTAAGGAATGGTCAGTCTGTGTTTTAGGTTTAGAACAAAAGCTTCAAGTTCTGCAACTTTGGTCTAAGCGTCTGTCTATAGTGTTCAAGCAACAGGAAAAAACTGTAAACATCTGGACTAACTTTAGATCAAGATGTCACCGTCAGCATCAGCGAGGAGGAGGGGGTGAGGAGGAAGGAGTGAGGAGGAAGGAGGAGGGAGTGAGGAGGAGGGAGTGAGGAGGAGGAGGGCGTGAGGAGGAGGAGGGCGTGAGGAGGAAGGAAGGAGGAAGGAGTGAGGAGGAAGGAGGAGGGCGTGAGGAGGAGGAGGGCGTGAGGAGGAAGGAAGGAGGAAGGCGTGAGGAGGAAGGAGGAGGGCGTGAGGAGGAGGAGGGCGTGAGGAGGAGGAGGGCGTGAGGAGGAGGAGGGCGTGAGGAGGAGGAGGGCGTGAGGAGGAGGAGGGCGTGAGGAGGAGGAGGGCGTGAGAGGAGGAGGAGGGCGTGAGGAGGAAGGAAGGAGGAAGGCGTGAGGAGGAAGGAGGAGGGCGTGAGGAGGAGGAGGGCGTGAGGAGGAAGGAAGGAGGAAGGCGTGAGGAGGAAGGAGGAGGGCGTGAGGAGGAGGAGGGCGTGAGGAGGAGGAGGGCGTGAGGAGGAGGAGGGCGTGAGGAGGAGGAGGGCGCGAGGAGGAGGAGGGCGCGAGGAGGAGGAGGGCGTGAGGAGGAGGAGGGCGTGAGGAGGAGGGAGTGAGGAGGAGGAGGGAGTGAGGAGGAGGGGGAGTAAGGAGGAGGAGTGAGGAGGAGGAGTGTGAGGAGGAAGGAGGAGGAGGGCGTGAGGAGGAAGGAGTGAGGAGGAAGGAGTGAGGAGGAAGGAGTGAGGAGGAAGGAGTGAGGAGGAGGAAGGAGTGAGGAGGAGGAAGGAGTGAGGAGGAGGAAGGAGTGAGGAGGAGGAAGGAGTGAGGAGGAGGAAGGAGTGAGGAGGAGGGAGGAGTGAGGAGGAGGAAGGAGTGAGGAGGAGGGAGTGAGGAGGAGGAGGAGGAGGAGGGCGTGAGGAGGAAGGAGTAGTGAGGAGGAGCACAGATGAAGATGACCCATGTGTAACTTTAACATCAGTATTGTATGTTCTAGAGCAGACAGTTGTGTGTCCGTGTGTCGCATGAGGCTTTACCCTACACCAGTGTCTCTCAAAGTGGGGTCCGCGGCCCCCTGGTGGGCCGCGAGGGTACTGCAGGGGGGCCGCGGGAGGTCATAAAAAAAAACATTTTAATGTTAAATTTATAATGTTTTGTTTGTAATATTAAAATATTTGTGTTCATTATTTGACTTGAATAATCCACTGTAATCATTTTTGCATTACAATGTTTGTAGCAGAGGCTATTTCCCCAAAATAAAATAACCAGAAGAGCCTATTCTTAATGTTGTCTTCTTGGTTACTATTTTGGGGGGCCACGCAGACCCGTCAGATTTTTAAGGGGGCCTCGGTGTTACCGAGTTTGGGAATGGCTGCCCTACACTAACGTCTGAGCTGAGTGTGTGAATGAATGAATGTGTGTATGTAGTGAATGAGTGCGTGTGTGTGTAGTGAATGAATGAATGAATGTGTGTGTGTAGTGAATGAATGAATGTGTGTGTGTAGTGAATGAGTGCGTGTGTGTAGTGAATGAATGAATGTGTGTAGTGTGTAGCGAGCTCACCGGTCTCCGTGGCGTTGTGGCGCGGTCGCTCTGGCCCAGCTCCCGGTGCCTCCTGTGTCCTCTGTGAACCCAGGGCCTGGTCTAGAACCAAACAGGATCCAAACCCAAACCAAAACAAAGCCAGGACTGCAGCTGAAGCCTGGGCCCTGCCATCCTGCCACACACACTGAGCCGAGCGTTAGGGGGGGCTAAATGCACTCACCTGGTCCCACACCTGGTCCCACACCTGGTCCTAATCAGGTCACATGGTTGTGCTCACTTCTCTGAACACGCACAAAAGTGAACACACAAAAGTGAACACACAAAAGTGAACACACATGTTTATCTCAGGTAGATGACAGAAGGGTTAGGGTTATGAAACACACACATGAACAGGAGATGTGGAGATAGTGTTCTGTTTAAGAGCTCTCAGAGTGTGTTTGTGAACGAGTGAGAGCACACGTCTCTGGAGCAGAAACACACGTCTCTGGAGCAGAAACACTATACTATAGTTGTCAAATACTATTCTCATTTGTTTCCTAGCTATTGATTTTGTAGATTACGAGATTTATTCATCCTACAGTGGGCACATGTCAGCACAATACTGTGCTAGAATAAAATCATATCTAACTTTATCATGATAAGGAAGTGTAAAACCGTATATTCTAGTGCAGAAATATAGTTGTATGTATACACCTGTACCATAGACTGGAAATATTAGCGGACGTAGTGATGCCTATTTCCCCTGATGAAATGTATGTCTGATCCCCACGGAGGTTTTGAAAATGACCGCGAGCAGCACCTCTCACTGGAGAAGGGTGGAAAACAAGTTTGGAGCGGAGGCTGTATCACGTGCGCATGTGTTAGCTGCACAAGCCTGACACATGCTGTTCATTTAGTGAGTGAATTCAAAAGCCCACAGCAGCTAAACTAGACTGATCCAAAACAAAATCTTCCCCACAGCATTGACAGCATCTGGAACGTAGCTTTCGTAGCTACTGGACAGCAGCAGAAGACTCATCCAGGTTTGTTGTACAGTCTGTTCGGCAGCGTAGTGATAGGAGCCTGTTGCTGCGATTACTCCTCTGAGCGGCCATAGTGTCATGCAGAGGGTGTCTGGAGTTACCCAGGATGCAGTAGAGCCCTCATCCTTCTCTCCAGCACAGCTCCCACAGAGTCCACACTTATCCCCATCACAGAAACACATTTCCTGATCAGCCTGTCGAGCCGGTTACGGTCTCTCGAGGTATCGTCCGAGTATCTTTGTACATGGCATGTAGCAAAGTTGTGTGCAAAGTCTGCAGTGTAAACAGTGAAGAGGAAGGGAGCCAGAACAGTGCCCTGTGGTGCTCCTGTATTGTCACAACAGTCCCAGACACGCTGTTCTCTAACCTGACATACTGTGACCTCAAAGTGAGGTGATTGTAAATCCAGTTGGTAAAGATGGGATCAACTCCGATCGTTTCCAGTTTTGCCATCAGTAAGAGAGGTTGGATGGTGTTAAATGCACTGGAGAAGTGGAAGAACATCTGGCTCACATAACCAGGGCCATCTAGGAAGGACAGGGATCGATGGAGCATGTAGCGTAATCCCATCAGGCCCAGCAGACTTCCTCCCCTGGATCTTCTTTAGCTCCACCCGGACATCCTCCATGGTGAAGGTCGCAGGAGCAGGGGTGGTGTAGCCGCCAGGAGGAGCAGGACTGGTCACAGTAGAATCAGCGTGCTCCTTAAATCACATTAAATACATTTTTGTGAGACCAGTTTGTGGGTCTACTGTTTAAGTGACATTAGTGTAATTCTGTGATACAGAAGTGAGTGGGGTCATTTTTCATAAAACTATTAATGACTGTGTTTTTCCTGAAGCCTGATTGGAGGAAAAGGTGCGTCGCCGTCTCTTGCCTCCCTGAGTCCAGAACGACCTTGTATGGCGGGTGACAACACCAGGTTTGCACTTTTACTGATATCATTTCAATCAAATAAAAGAGAAGTAATTACTATAAATAAATTCTAATTCCGTCCGAATAGGGCTTATCTGTGGACTCCTGGTAATATGTGATAATTACGGAAGACGTCTGAAATCTTGCAGTGCATTCGCACGGGATAAGCAATGTCTGTCATTTTCACTGACATCTGACATAACGGCCACATGTGCGAGGGTCTTTCTGCTTCACGCAGCCCATAGAGACTCTGACCACAGCAGCCACAGAGACCATGAGGACGAACACATACAAGAGGATTTTACTGCTCTACAGTTCTCTGGCCTGTACTTTCTGCAATGTTTAAACAATACTTTTTGTACGGACAACCCGTGAACGCCCCAAATACTCTGCTAAGATACGAGCGAGCCGACAAATAGTAACAGCTGCATCAAAACGTCTGTACTGGATCAGGACAGAGTGCAAAGTAAACGTACAAACACAACCCATCGGTCTGATCATTTACTGTCAGTGAACACATTACACTGTCCTCAACGCTTCTTCGTAGACCTCACAGAGACAGCAGCAGCCGTGACTCTGCAGCTGTGTACACAGCCGCAATCCGCGACTCCTCTGCTCATTGACAAAAAACAACACAGAAAGTAAAGAGAAAGCGGCCATAACGATCATAATCACTGACATGCAGATTCTCACGGGATTAGTATTATCATAGTCTGTGTTTGGACAAATACAGGAGGTCATTTGCGGCGGAATTATTACTTTACAAATTACAGACGCATTCGCACTTGACTAAAGTCTCAGACGTCCTCTGCGATTATCACACATCACCAGGGGTCCCCATGTAAAACTAATCCCGTCCGTATAGGGCTTGTATGTCATCTTTAATTCTATAGTGCCTTTCACAGACCAGAGAGACGAGAGCCAATTTCAATCCAAAGATTTCTTCTTTCTCTAAACAATATGTAACAGTATGTAACTGGCCTCTGTTCCATCTTTAAATGAGCTTTTTCAGACAGAAATTGACAAAGAGACGACCACCCTCACTCAGCCCATCAGCTCTCAACCCAAAGACTAAAATAGTGACTCACACTTTCTTACGATACAAAAGACAATATGTTTTATATTAACATAACATATGACATAATAGCTTCTTCTTTTGGCCTTTGGAGTTGGGCATAGACTCGGACAGGTTCGACAGGTTCCACGTGACTTCTCCTAACGTCAAGCATTTATCTATGAGGATATTGCATTAGGCCATGATTTTAATGTCAGGACTGCTCCACTCTGATTGTGACCAGAGAGAGACCAGAAGGAGAGACCCGAATGAGAGACCTGAGAGAGGTAGACTAGAGAGTGAGAGACCAGAGAGAGGGACCCGAATGAGAGACCAGAGAGAGAGACCTGAGAGAGGGAGACTAGAGAGCGAGAGACCAGAGAGTGAGAGACCAGAGAAAAACCAGAAAGAGAGACCAGAGATAGGGAGACTAGAGAGCGAAAGACCAGAGAGTGAGAGTCCAGAGCGCAAGAGACCAGAGAGTGGGAGACCAGAGAAAAACCAGAGAGAAAGGCCAGCGTGAGAGACCAGAGCTGGAGACACCAACGATGTTTCTGTCCAACAATTTGAGATTGGACAAAAACACCAACCACACTGTTAAGAAAGCTCGTCAGCGTCTATACTTTCTGCGGAAACTCAGGGAATTTACAAATAACTCTTAGATTTTGCTGAACTTTTACCGCTGCACCATAGAAAGCCTGATGCTGGTACGATTACTGTGTGGTTCATCACAGCCAAAGGAAAGAGAGCTCTGAACAAAAGAGGTTCTGCTCGGAGGACTGAACTGTGAGATGCCCGTTCTGGAGGTTCTTTATGAGAGCAGACTCTTAAACCTTGAGGATCGTAAATGACTCCTCTGGCCATACAGGAGTTGTCTTGTTCCGGCCTCTTCCCTCAGGGAGAAGATTCTGGTCCCTGACCAGGACCACCCGCCATGCGAATAGCTTCTTTCTTCAGGCTGAACAGAACGTGCATTTTTGTTAGATCAGTTTGTGGGTCTACTGTTTTAGTGACCTTTGTGTAATTCTGTGATACAAAAGTGAGTAGGGTCATCTCTTATAAAAATTACTGTGTTTTTCCTGAAGCCTGTTTGGAGGAAAAGGTGCATCGCCGTCTCTTGCCTCCATGAGTCCAGAACGACCTTCAATGGCGAGTGGCAACACCAGGTATGCACTTTTACTGTTAGAGAAGTAAGTATATAAGAATAGCCTGGCCTTAGCCAGAGAGAGAGACCAGGAATAAACCAGACAGAGAGAGACTACAGAGAAACCAGAGAGAGACTAGAGCGAACCGGAACCCATCACTGCTGCTAATATTTGGAACAATGAGCACGTTTTCACCTCCAGACCCGACAACTGCACCAGCCTCCTGTCTCCCTTCCACTCTGAGGATCGGTCCTCAGGGTTCACAGGGCTCGGTCCTCAGGGTTCAGAGGGCTCGGTCCTCAGGGTTCAGAGGGCTCGGTCCTCAGGGTTCAGAAGGCTCGGTCCTCGGGATTCAGAGGGCTCGGTCCTCGGGGTTCAGAGGGCTCGGTCCTCGGGGTTCAGAGGGCTCGGTCCTCAGGGTTCAGAGGGCTTGGTCCTCGGGGTTCAGAAGGCTCGGTCCTCAGGGTCCAGAAGGCTCGGTCCTCAGGGTTCAGAGGGCTCGGTCCTCGGGGTTCAGAGGGCTCGGCCCTCGGGGTTCAGAGGGCTCGGCCCTCGGGGTTCAGAGGGCTCGGTCCTCGGGTTCAGAAGGCTCGGTCCTCAGGGTTCAGAGGGCTCGGTCCTCAGGGTCCAGAAGGCTCGGTCCTGTCCTCAGGGTTCAGAAAGCTCGGTCCTGTCCTTAGGGTTCAGAAGGGTCCTCAGGGTCCAGAAGGCTCGGTCCTCAGGGTCCAGAAGGCTCGGTCCTCAGGGTCCAGAAGGCTCGGTCCTCAGGGTTCAAAAGGCTAATTGAGTTGTGTTTCCGTTTTTAACAAAACCACTTATACAAGGTACATTTTTGCACTGTCGTCATCATGATAAAGAACATGTATAGACTATATCAGGAGTAGGATTAGGGAGACAGATAGAAGCCCAGGTCCAGCTCTCAGGTGGCGTCATTTCTGTTCTAAGGACAATTTAAAGTGTAAAGGGTCTAATAATGTGTGCATTTTTTCTGAAGGTCCTCCAGAAGAAGTGCCTCCTCAACGTCTCCATCTCTGCAGTCGTTCAGTCCAGAACGACCCGATTTATCCACACAAAAACACAGGTATGAAGCCTGTGCAGTTTATGGCATTTCATCACAATATTATTCATACTCCTGTATTTTTGCTCCGACTTGCACTGACCATTTTGGACTAATACAACTCAGGGGTGTATCTGTGATTCTGGGGTTTATAATGTGACATTGCCTTTCTAAATACAGAAATGAGCCATATAAGCCTGTGGAGAGACCTGCTGGGCATTATACATACTACTTCATACTGCTTCAAACTGCTTCAGTTTTTTGGTGTTGCGCTTTTCCCTTAAGATTAGACACTCACAGTTCCAGGACATTTATGCACATTTATTAACATTTCAGGTAGGGGTGCAATTGGGAAACTTTGGGCCGATACTGATGTTTAACATAACAACTCGGCTTTATATATGTATTAGGGATGTCAAAAGATTAAAATTTTGAATCGAGTTAATTTCAGCTTTAAAATGTATTAATCGTAATTAATTGCAGTTCGAACTATCGACAAAATGATGCCATATTTTTTCTGTAAATGGTTGTTTGAATGGAAAGCTAAATGACAGCGTACATATGTACTGTATTTGTTTATTATAACGACAATAAATCCATATAAAATGGCATTAACATTATTGACACATTGGGGCGACAGTGGCTCAGTTGATAGACCATTGGCCTTTGAGCCCGAAGATCGTGGGTTCGAGCCCACCATAAGACCTTCTCCACCAACTCTCACTGATGTCTGCTGTCGTTGTGTCCTTGGCAAGATACTTAACCTCTGGGAACACCAGGTGCCACAGTGGGGCGGCTGCGGCTGTAAAGTGCCAAACTGCCTTTGTGTCCTTAGGCAAGACACTTCACCCACATTAGAATGAGTCTGATGTGTGTGTGAATGGTTGGTGGTGGTGGGTAGGGGCTGATGGCACAGACTGGTTGCCTCGCTTCTGTCAGTGTTGCCCCAGGGCAGCTTTACACACAAGTTTTTTTTTTTATATCACACGACTCTGTTGACGCAGTCCTGCCTTCGCAGATTCGCAAGTGTAACTTGGACTGTGTACGTGCGTAAACAGATTTGTGTGTGTGTAATTTGACATTTGTATCTGTAACAGAACAATCTGTGTGTAAATAACCACGTTGTACGAAGAGAAGAACGGAAAAATCCTAAGTGCTACGCACAGGCTCTGTTTTACACAAATCTCTTTTTGACACACCTCTGCCGCTTAGCGTGTGTCAAAAAGATTTGTAAGTGTAATGTGGTTGTTCTAGCAGTACACCAGCAGATGGTGCTGTTGCAGCTGGTTATTACCTACACGCAAGAAAACCAGCTGAGTTTGTGGCACTAAAGTGTAGATAGAGAAAACCGAAGGACTTAAAGAGCGACTAAACACCTGTGCCCAGCCTTACTCCGCCCACATGAAGATTTGAAAATGTTCTCTAAAAAGGGCGTTGCCTGGAGGACCAAGGGACAAGAAGGGGGGCTTAGAGTTGGGCGTGGTCTGGGCTGTGATTGACAGCTCACTTGTCACACAAAAAAAAAACAGACAGTTGTCATTGCTGCTTAAAGCAATAGTTTACAGACCAGAAAGTCTTATTCCACCCTTGTTTACACACTAAGATCATTGTAAAGCTACACACCTGAACCTAATCACACTCAATAATCTCAGAATGACTCATGTAATTTAATTTTAATCCACTAGATGGCGCCAGAATACTCCAAACTGCAGCTGGGGTGTGTGAGAGTTGAATGGGTTTATATCACTGGCTCTGACAGACTGACGTCACACAAAACAACTGATGTCATAGAGAACTTCAGAGTCAATGGAGAGGCCAGGACCAAATTCAAATGTAGTACCACCAAAAAGGTTGAGAGGGCGCCACACAGCGTTTTTTGGCTCAAAAGTGATATTTTATCTAATTTGAACTAAAATGTCAAAAAAATGACCAGGATATGTAGACAGCACTACAATAAACATACTTATGCAGTTTATGAGTTAAAAAAAGTTGATTTGGTGTTTAGTCGCTCTTTAAGAAGAAGAAAAGTTCAGGATGACAAGGAACACTAAAATCCCCACAAAATCCGACCTTTATGAAAGCTGTAGGTTCTCTGTCAGGTTCTCTGTCAGCTGTTTTAGTTTACAGTGAGTTCTATGGGGAAAATTTCTGTGCAGCCCACGTGAATTTAGTCTGCAGTACGAGAATCCTTCAGCTCCAAGCTAGTAACACCCTATCCAGATAATATAATAGATCCATGTGTCATACAGTGGTGTGAGTGACCAGTCGCAGTTCTCCACAGATCCACATATTTGTTGTGACTGTCACTCCCGTATTCGTCCCGGAAACCGGATTCGTCCGGAAGTTCAGTTTGATCCAATGAGCACAGGCAGCAGTAGATTACGTCACGGAATCTGGACGGAAGCGGAAGTAAATATAAAAAATTACCTATTAATGCCTAAACTTAACCAGCCATTCCCATAAAATAACCCCAACCCACCCTTAACCCTAAACGTAACCATCTTAATCAGACGCCTAAACTTAACCAGTCTCCACTTAAGGACATATTAAACTTTTTGACATGCGCAAACTGAACTTCCGGACGAATCCGGTTTCCGGGACGAATCCGGGAGTGACAGTGACGTCACATTGACTTTGCTTCAGTCTGAACGCCTCATTCTTCAGTCTCTTCTGCTGCAGACCAGGTGTCACAGCGCCACCCTGTGGAACCAAGTGTCACAGCGCCACCCTGTGGAACCAGGTGTCACAGCGCCACACTGTGGCACCAGGTGTCACAGCGCCACACTGTGGCACCAGGTGTCACTGCGCCACACTGTGGCACCAGGTGTCACTGCGCCACACTGTGGCACCAGGTGTCACTGCGCCACACTGTGGCACCAGGTGTCACAGCGCCACACTGTGGCACCAGGTGTCACAGCGCCACACTGTGGCACCAGGTGTCACTGCGCCCCACTGTGGCACCAGGTGTCACAGCGCCACACTGTGGCACCAGGTGTCACTGCAGCCGCCCGTCACAGAGCCAAGCTCAGAGTTCATGTCTTATCTCTAAACTAAAGGGTATAAACGGTTGCTATGGCGACAGAGTTGTATTTATTGTAAAAGCCAAAGAGGCTCAGAGGGTCCTTGTAAATACTGTTCTTTCTGCTTCTGAGACATTTTCTTTTACGGTACTTTATCATGAAATCTGTTTCAAACTTAGTCTTTACAAATGTCCAAAAACTAAGATCTGGAGACAAACTGGCTGAACTTTGGTTTCAACACATTCCAACAAACCTTGTCCTGTGATGTCACAGGTTCTTCAATGTTTCATTTGTACATTTCCAGGAAAAGTGAAGCAGCACAAGTGTGGTTTATAAAGTGTTGGACAAAGTGATTCCAAAGCTGTGGGTTTTTATTGAACTGTTGAATATCTGAGTGCAGCAGTACTCGAGTACTGAAGTGCACCATTGGTCTGGACAGAAAGGGACAATGACATTTTATACGTTTTATAAAGAAAATACAGCTGTATTATTCCAACGGGCCTTAAGACTCAGCACGTGTTCAGTCAGTCCTTTGTAAGACATTTATGACCTTGCATTGAACACGTTTACTTCTTGAATGTTTATGTAGAAACGTTTAGATTAAAAGCATTGTGTTATTCTTGACTCGTTCATTCTTCTTGCTCTGGAGTTAATGAGATCCTGAGGCGTTCCCAGACGAGCTGAGAACTGGCCCTGGTTTCACTGAACTCTGAAAAGGACCGACTGAGGCCAGGCATCTTACCAACTCCTGTGGTCTGCGGTTTGGAGTGAAAACCTGTGGTTGCTGTGAAGACAAGCTAAAAGACCACGTTTCAACATTCATCTCAAACAGTGGCCTCAGTCTACAGCTGAACGCCATAGAACAGGCCAAACTCGGGCCCGCGGGCCAATTCCAGCCCTGTTAGCAAGAGGGCCACATTAAACCAACTTCAGCACCAACAGTCATGCTATACCTTTTATATCGGACCCGCTGGAATCCAGCTGTTGACAATAAAGACGCAACAAACTACTTATTCCAGAATCCACTCAAATCCAAATCCAGGTGTCGTCAAGTTGGGACTTAAGATCAGGACAGTCTAACATGCGCAGAGACTGAGGAAGCCCATTCCAAAGATCAGGAGCAACTGCCTGGATCTGTCTCGAGTGCGGGGGGCAAGAACCAGGTTGAGGAGGACCATCAACAGGTTCTGAGTGGAGGACCTCAGGCCCCTGTTGGAGACAGGGGTGGATCAGGCCCTGGATGTATTCAGGCGCCTGACCACAAAGAGCCCTGAATGTCAACACTAGAATTAACATTCTGTGAGAGACACAGAGCCAGTGTAAGGACTTCAGGATAGCTCTCCCGTGGGTGCGGGTCAAAAGCCTTGCAGAATTGTAACTTGTAAACGAGCCAGATTTTTACCAAGACATGTAAGCAGGCTGTTGAGTCCAATTGCGAGGAAACCAAAGCGTGGACAATCATCTCCAGGCCTGAGACTGGAGATGTTGCACAAGTGGAAGTTAGTTTCAGATCAGCTGTTTCAGATCAGCTGTTTGGTGTGTCGTTCTAGGGACATCCTTCATCAAAAGTGACTCCAAGGTTCCTCAGACTCCCGAAGAACCTGGACTTGTTCAGATCGGTCTGGATCAGGCAGAAACTCCTGGATCTTTGTGTCCATCTTGGTTTTTCACTAAACTCCAGTGTCGTCAATGCAGTTTAGAATCAACTGTCCTTTGGCCGTCAGACCATTTTCTTGAATTGACATCTTTGAGCAGAAGGACGACGCAGTGACCGCTACAGCACAGACCACAAACACAAGATAGAGGTTTAAATGAAAGTTTATTAAAGAGTGCGTCAGGACGTAGGGGTCTCCCAGCCGGCCTGGCAGGGGCACCAGCACAGCTTCTCGGGGGTGGTCTGCGCCACGGTCGTTCTCTCGGCGGTGGTGGTGGTGATCTGCAGAAACAAACAGTCTTTATCGTGAGCTGCAGCGATGGACGCAGAGACAGCGCCATGTTCCAGAGACATTCTGGAGTCTTTACGAACTCAGACGACTTTTGCAAAACGTAGAAGAGGTGAAGGAGGTAGAGTTTCAATTTAATAAAGCCTTGTCTTTTTTCAAAGTAATTTCCACTTCTGCTTTTAACTTTACAGTACAGAAACGTTTCACACCCTTCGCCCAAACTTATGTACAAGTGATATTTAGTTTTATTGATTAAATGACAGACTAGGGCCTCCTTCATCTATGCTTCAGTGAGTCCTAAGTTAATGTTTCACAGCTCTGTGTTTTGTTCTATTAATGTGTCCAAAACTGGATTAACGTTCTTCCACAGGAGAAATGTGTTCATATAAACCAATTACATATTTTTTACTTGCGCCTTTGCTCTGACTCAAGGCAATATTCAGTTTGACAGGACTGGGTTTTTCAGTTTAGGGCTTCTCAAAACACAGACGATAAAAGTGAAATGACTGGACACAGGACAGGTACTGAACTGAACTGATGGTACTGACCGAGCTGCAGTCTGGCGTCTGTACCAGGTTCCCGTGTTCGTCCACTGTCACACAAGAGGCTCGTGTGGTGCCACAGGCTGCGGTGGTGGTGAGGTCCGGGAGAGGCGTGGTGAGGTCCGGGAGAGGCGTGGTGAGGTCTGGCGGCGTCAGGTCCGTGGTGGTTACCGTAGCTCTGCAGGAGAAAACCATTTCAGACTCGAGGGTACTTGATACTCACATCTTGATCCACTTGAACATAAATCTAATCCAGGTTTCACTTCTCCAAGAATAACTTTGAATCGTCTCTGCACTTCCATTTTTCATCCAAAGAGCACTAATGTTTATGTTGTGTACACTTTGCACAGCTAGAGCATCGCCCATTGCTGCATCTCATTCTTCCTAGAGCAAGGAAACTTATTTAAAACTTCCAGACTAAAATCAAGTCCTTTTGAATCAGTAGCTTAAGTTTTTGTGTAAACTTTTAATCAGGGACTAAGGGCTTCTGTCCGGCTGCGGTTTGAGACCGTAGGAAGATCAGATGCATCTGTTTTCAGAGTCTTTGAGTGAATCAGACTCTTCACACCATACACTGAAAAACCACCACCGTAGCCACAGCTGCCCTGGCGGCACACTGACAGCCCCTCCCAAACTCATTCTACTGTGGTCGCTTCCTTAATTGTAAAAACATGAAAAGATACAGACCTGGTTGCTTTGGTGGTCGCGGTCGAAACACCGACAGAGGTCCCTGAGAATCAGCACATGTGACATCAACACATCTTAGATTTTACTTTCATTTTACTCTTTACCTGAGGTGGACCTGAGGCAGGTCGAGAGGCTGACGGGCTCGTATGTGGACAGAGGCTCCAGGTCTTTGATCAGGGACAGAAGGTCTGATGGGTCGGGGGTCGCGGGACCTCCTGGAGTGGATTGCCGGCGGGCGGGACCTCCTGGAGTGGATTGCCGGGGGGCGGGACCTCCTGGAGTGGATTGCCGGGGGGCGGGACCTCCTGGAGTGGATTGCCGGCGGGCGGGACCTCCTGGAGTGGATTGCCGGGGGGCGGGACCTCCTGGAGTGGATTGCCGGGGGGCGGGACCTCCTGGAGTGGATTGCCGGGGGGCGGGACCTCCTGGAGTGGATTGCCGGGGGGCGGGACCTCCTGGAGTGGATTGCCGGGGGGCGGGACCTCCTGGAGTGGATTGCCGGGGGGCGGGACCTCCTGGAGTGGATTGCCGGGGGGCGGGACCTCCTGGAGTGGATTGCCGGGGGGCGGGACCTCCTGGAGTGGATTGCCGGGGCAAGAGCCAAAGCACATGTGACATAACATCTCCAACATACTTTGCACTTATTCTACTCTTTACCTGAAGTGGAGAAGATCATGGCGTCGAGGTCCTTTATCAGAGACAGAAGCTCTGAAGTGTCAGAGTCGTGCAGTTCTGTGCCAGATGCCACAGAAGATCTGGTGGAAATGTAAAATCCAGTCGAGGACTTTGTGGGACCTCCTGGTGTGGTTCCGGTCTCAGGAGCAGGACCTCCTGGTGTTGTCCCTATGGATCAGAGCACAGGCAACATAACAGCAACACATTTTGAATTTTACCCTTTACCTGAGGTGGACCTGAGCCGGGTCGAGAAGCTGGTGGGCTCGTAGGAGAGAGGGAAGGCGTCAAGGTCCTTTATCAGAGCCAGAGGGTCCGAGGTAGTTCTGGGGGCAGGACGCCCAGGGGCTTTTCTGGTCGTGGGGGAGGGAACTCCAGGGGCTGATGTCCAAATAACATTTACAGGTCAAACTCTAGGCTTAAGAATATCATTGAAAAACTGCTTTCGTTTAATGAATTCAGAAAAAACCCAAAGGCTTCACATACATGTTTAGCACTTTAAACGGAACTTGACATACTGCATCTTTTAAATATTATTCCAACAGAATATAGTGCTGGGGATACGTTTATTTTTCTCCCATTTCCTGATTGGTCTAAAGGCTGCGAACAGAGTTGACATTAGCGAGTACATGTCAGCTTTGGAGCGTTTCAAAACTGTCATGATTACCCCCAGACGAGAATCAGGACAAAATCTAAACAGGTCTGATCTAAAATGAACATTCTTAGTCAAAATGACGTACAAGTGTGTGGAACGACGATCGCAGACGTGGTGGTCATGTGACACGGCTGCGTGGAGACTGCGTTTGTGCGGCACGGCGGAGCGATCGGACACGGCACGATGATCGGGGGAGGGGTTCTTCTGCAGTCACACGGTTTGCTCGTGGTGGTCGTGGTCGTTGTGGTGGGGGAGAGTAGGACACAAGGGCACAGAGACGGCGCACTGCTAACTCCAAATCCAGAGCCGCCGTCACCTTTGTATCCTGTTGGCAAAAAAAAACGCTTATATATTTGCATTTAATTGACCCAGGTGTTTTTTGGTTTGGATTTTAGTAGTGCAATTATCAGAGCTGCCCCCTCCTCCGTAGCCAGAGTTTCCATTTCCTGGTTTTGGGTAAATACAATTTTAAGTTTGCACTGAAGGAAGGTTTCTCCAAGATATGTCAGCTCTGGTAAATGCGCTCTGAAATCCCAGATCACCTGCGGAGCTAGAGCCATCTCCATATCCTGTTATTGGTCAAATGTTTTAATAAGAACACACCTGTGAAGCATCTAGGCCGGCCCTGGCTGGTCAAATAATGAACACCGACATAAGCCTTACCCGCATGACCATCTCCACCGGGGTAGTCTGTCCCGGAGTCTCCGTCTGCGTAGCCACCAGAGAAGGCGTCGCCTTCATAGTCAGAGCCGGGGTCACCGTGTTCTACGTTGCCGCCAAAGCCACCTCCGTAGCCTACGTCGTCGCCATAGCCAGGGTCACCTCCATGGCTGCCGTCACTGCTGCCTACGTCGCCACCATAGCCGGGGTCACCTCCGTAGCCCATGTCGTCGCCATAGCCGGGGTCACCGTGTTCTACGTCGCTGCTGCCTACGTCGTCGCCATAGCCAGGGTCACCTCCGTGGCTTCCGTTGCCTACGTCGTCGCCATAGCCGAGGTCACCTCCGTGGCTGCCGTCGCCACCATGGCTGCCTACGTCGCCGCCATAGCCGAGGTCACCTCCGTTGCTGCTGCCTACGTCGCCGCCATAGCCAGGGTCACCTCCATGGCTGCCGTCGCCACCATAGCCATGGTCACCTCCGTGTTCTACGTCGCTGCTGCCTACGTTGCCGCCATAGCCGGGGTCACCTCCGTGTTCTACGTCGCTGCTGCCTACGTCGCCACCATAGCCGAGGTCACCTCCGTGTTCTAAGTCGCTGCTGCCTACGTCGCCACCATAGCCGGGGTCACCTCCGTGTTCTACGTCGCTGCTGCCTACGTCGCCACCATAGCCGGGGTCACCTCCGTGTTCTACGTCGCCACCATGGCTGCCGGGGTCACCTGCGTGTTCTAAGTCGCTGCTGCCTACGTCGCCACCATAGCCGGGGTCACCTCCGTGTTCTAAGTCGCTGCTGCCTACGTCGCCACCATAGCCGGGGTCACCTCCGTGTTCTACGTCGCTGCTGCCTACCTCGCCACCATAGCCGGGGTCACCTCCGTGTTCTACGTCGCTGCTGCCTACGTCGCCACCATAGCCGGGGTCACCTCCGTGTTCTACGTCGCTGCTGCCTACCTCGCCACCATAGCCGGGGTCACCTCCGTGTTCTACGTCGCTGCTGCCTACCTCGCCACCATAGCCGGGGTCACCTCCGTGTTCTACGTCGCTGCTGCCTACGTCGCCACCATAGCCGGGGTCACCTCCGTGTTCTAAGTCGCTGCTGCCTACGTCGCCACCATAGCCGGGGTCACCTCCGTGTTCTACGTCGCTGCTGCCTACCTCGCCACCATAGCCGGGGTCACCTCCGTGTTCTACGTCGCCACCATGGCTGCTGCCTACGTCGCCACCATAGCCGGGGTCACCTTTGTGTTCTACGTCGCTGCTGCCTACGTCGCCACCATAGCCGGGGTCACCTCCGTGTTCTACGTCGCCACCATGGCTGCTGCCTACGTCGCCACCATAGCCGGGGTCACCTGCGTGTTCTACGTCGCTGCTGCCTACGTCGCCACCATAGCCGGGGTCACCTCCGTGTTCTACGTCGCTGCTGCCTACCTCGCCACCATAGCCGGGGTCACCTCCGTGTTCTACGTCGCTGCTGCCTACCTCGCCACCATAGCCGGGGTCACCTCCGTGTTCTACGTCGCCACCATGGCTGCTGTTGCTGCTGCCTAAGTCGCCACCATAGCCGGGGTCACCTCTGTGTTCTACGTCGCTGCTGCCTACGTCGCTGCTGCCTACGTCGCCACCATAGCCGGGGTCACCTATGTGTTCTACGTCGCTGCTGCCTACGTCGCTGCTGCCTACGTCGCCACCATAGCCGGGGTCACCTCCGTGTTCTACGTCGCCACCATGGCTGCTGTCGCTGCTGCCTACGTCGCCACCATAGCCGGGGTCACCTCCGTGTTCTACGTCGCCACCATGGCTGCTGTTGCTGCTGCCTACATCGCCACCATAGCCGGGGTCACCTCCGTGTTCTATGTCACCACCATAGCTGCCGTCGCTGGTGCCTACGTCGCCACCATAGCCAGGGTCACCTCCGTGGGGGTCTGGCTCAGGATGGGAGGTCGGATGACCCGGTTCAGCCTCTAATCCGGGATGATAGTCAGGTTCTGCGTTTGACCCAGGGTGGTGGTCCGGCTCAGGATGTTGATCCGGTTCACCCCCTGACCCAAGGTAGTGGTCTGGCTCGGGATGGGGGCCCGGTTCAGCCTGTAATCCGGGATGGTAGTCTGGGTCAGACGCTGAACCAGGTTGGTGGTCTGGCTCGGATTGATGAGCCGGTTCTGAGTCTGACCCAGGTTGGTGGTCTGGCTCAGGATGGGAGCTCGGATGAACCGGTTCAGCCTCTAATCCTGGATGGTAGTCTGGTTCAGCGTCTGACCCAGGTTGGTGGTCTGGCTCAGGATGGGAGCTCGGATGACCCGGTTCAGCCTCTAATCCTGGATGGTAGTCTGGTTCAGCATCTGACCCAGCGTGGTAGTCCGGTTCGGGATGGTGGTCCGTCTCGGCCTCCGAGCCGGGGTGGTGGTGGTCCGGTTCGGGATCTGACCCAGGGTGGTCCGGTTCAGGATGGTGTCCACCATGGTGGCGGTGAGGCTTTGGCCGTCTGCGTCCTGTGAAAAACAAGGTGTTAATACTGTGTAAGTGTAAGAGCTGGGACGTCTGACCCATTAATCAGATTCATTAGCATGGTCCCTATGACCAAGCAATCTTTGGTCACAACGATTCATACAACTCTAACTGCATTTTTCCTGTGCAACGTGAGCTAAAATGCAGAATATCCTTCCCAAAAATTTGGAGACGACCCAGGGTGGTCGTCTCCAAAGGCTCGCTCTAGCCGCTTCCTGGTACTCGAACAGCTTGTCCTTGGTTCTAACAGGGCTGAGTAGAAACAAAAACAAGCAGACGTTGGCGAACGTTTGAGATTTGGTCAGAGGTGCCGTCAATCACTCTTCAGTAGGGGTGGGAACCTAAGGGTACGATACGATAGAAAGCTCACGATAACGATTGATATATTGGTCAGAAATAAACATGCCAATTTATGGCATAAGAAAAAACACTTTATTTCATGATAATATATGGCTACATTACGCATTTCCATTTAAGTATTGATACCAATTTTAAAGAATTGTAAAAATAATGTTTCTCAAAATCGATTGATACTTTGCAAATGCATATTTGAGTTGCCACACCACACCTACTCTTCAGCTGGTGCAAAAAATAAATAAAAGCCTTAAGTCTCCTAGCCTGGTCGCACCACACCATAGTACAAATTACATTTCGTACTAAGGTCTGGAGGTGCTCCATCGAGCTCAGTTTACAGATTAGGTGTTAACTCCTTTTGCAGATGGGAACGATTGGATCTGAGTTCACCGTGACGTATGTAGTGCGCCCGAGTCAGTCTTTAGCATAGCAATCTTTGCCGCTAACGGAGCCTGTGGGGAGTCGCGCCACAATATTTTCCAGCAATTACATTTGCTAAACATTCCTCTCGCTCCGGCTTCAGTTTCTTGATGGTAAATTAATCCGGTCTAGTTCTATGGTATTTTTTTGCCATTGCCAAACTACAACCTTCCCGTTCGACGCAAACTCTTGACGTCACCCACAACTACAACACCTGCCTCACACGCTCTGAATGGTCGGTTGAAATTCAAACCGCTTGTAATCACCAACATAGGGACTAGACTCAGACGTTACACGCAGTGAAATTACAATTGAGCGGAGAGTACGGATGGATAAGGCCAGGCTAGAAGTTTCCTACTGAAAACTAAATATGTCCGTATGGAAAACAATTGCTTAGTTGCTGGATGAGGTCAACTCCTTCCTCAGTTGGCGAGGACACCAGCATGAGCTCAAGAAGTTAAGCAGCTTTAAATCAACAACCGTGACAACAGCAAACTTGGGCAGAACAGAAAAGCCTGGAGGTGGTTTGACCAAATGGACACAATTTACAGACACCCAACACCAGCAACACCAGAGAAGCCTCAGCTCTGCCTCGTTCCAGCTCTAGAGGAAGGGTCAGTGTCTTCAAACAAATGCAAAAGTATCTGGTCTAATACGGAGTCTAGCCATTTAGATTTTACTTCAGAGTCAAATATCTTCTACAATATGTGGTTAGAGAGAATAAGAGATTCATGGTTCACTAAAGACAGTGTTGCAGTATATGCTTGGTCAAAACTCAACTGTTCTTGGTTAGAGCTTGAAAACACTCATTTCGGGTGACACCATCAAGCTCACACTGGTGTCCTCTCAAACTGAGGAAGGGGTTGCCCTCATTCAGGGACCGAGGTCTTTAGTTCTCAGCAGGAAACTTGAGGCAAGTTATGGTTTTTGCAACAGCTGAAGAGTGATTGACAGTGCCTCCGATCTCCTTAACTTCAAGACATTAACATCAACTAACGATCACTGCTTAACAATCAACTCTTTATCCACATCAAGAAGGTGGACAGTCTACATGTCAAGGCAATCCTAATCCAAGGTTCTTCTCATCTTAAAAGATTATTCATTCATTTTCAAGCCCTTTATTGTCCATTTCTGGGTCAGGGGGGTGGCAATGAGAGCTGCCACCCAATGCTCATAGCACCAGTCCCTCGCTGATCCTCTGCAGGTGGTGAGTCCACAGGAAGATGGCTGCTCTGTCAGTGGTGAAACAGCCTTGGTCTTTCAGCGGGGGCTTCAGGCAACGTGGGGTTAAGTGTCTTGCCCAAGGACACAACGACAGTAGTGGGAGCAGGTCCCATGGTGGGAATTGAACTCACAACCTCCAAGCTCAAAGGCCACTGCTCTACCAACTGAGCTACTGTCGATTAGTTCCTCTAAACCAGACAGAAGTTATTGTCTAAGGTCATTTCCTTGACTCGTTTTGACGGCTACTTCCGCCTTCCTCTGTATGTTTGATGTCGCGAGACTAACTCTTCACGGTTCATAGTGTCTGCAATAACCACTCCATGGACTGGGACAGCACAAGAATCAACCAGGAACCCAATAGAAATGCTGGATCAGAGAAGCTGTAGAAATCAGGAACCGTGGCAATAAAAGAGTTTATATAAAAATCACAGACTTAAGACTTACCTGCATGACCGCCCGGCTTGCCCTGGAGGCGGCCCGGCTTGCCCTGGAGGCGGCCCGGCTTGCCCTGGAGGCGGCCCGGCTTGCCCTGGAGGCGGCCCGGCTTGCCCTGGAGGCGGCCCGGCTTTTGATGTTGACCCGGTTCAGCCTCTGACCCAGGATGGGGGTCCGGTTCAGCCCCTGACCCAGGATGGGGGTCTGGCTCAGGATGAGCGTCAGACTCTGGATGACGACCCGGTTCATCCTCTAATCCGGGATGGTAGTCCGGTTCAGCGTCTGACCCAAGTTGGTGGTCTGGTTCAGCATCTGACCCAGGATGGGGGTCTGGCTCAGGATGGGAGCTTGGATGAGCGTCAGACTCTGGATGACGACCCGGTTCAGCCTCTAATCCGGGATGGTAGTCCGGTTCAGCGTCTGACCCAGGTTGGTGGTCTGGTTCAGCATCAGACCCAGGGTGGTGGTCCCGGGCCTCCGAGCCGGGGTGGTGGTCCGGTTCGGGATCTGACCCAGAGTGGTGGTCCGGCTCAGGATGGTGTCCACCATGGTGGCGGTGAGGATTTGGCCGTCTGCGTCCTGTGAAAAACAAGGTGTCAATACTGTGTAAGTGTCTGGTCTGCAACGTCTCCACGACTCATTAATCAGACTCGTTAGCATGGTCCAACAGGGAATTTCCACTGTAGGCGTTAACAGCGCGTAGGCGTTGACTGTGCACATCTGCTCGTAACATTTGGCTGTATCTACACTGGCCGTGCGCAGGTCCACTGCTTCTGATGCTGTCCCTGTGTAGTCTATGGAGAAGTGTAGAGGACAGTACAGGCCAGAGACTGATGTAGAGCAACACAAATCACATGCGTTTGTCTTCATGGTCTCTGGTTTGGCCAGACACCAGACTTTGTGAACAAAAAAAACGATGTCCAGAATCACTAAAACCTGCTGCTCCTCCTGCTAATGTTTAGACACAAGTGTGATCTAAAGCAAAGGACCGCTATAACATGTTTCACATGCGTTTGCAATGAGACTCGTTGCTGCGCCCACAATTAGAAATCCATCCTAAATTAGACGCAGCCTCGCGTCATTAGCGCGTATAACACTAGTGTAAATATCAACATGGTTTACATGGAAAAAAGTTGCGGGCGTCTGTTGCGCGTATAACGGTTCATAGTGTCTGCAATAACCACCCCATGGACTGGGACAGCACAAGAATCAACCAGGAACCCAATAGAAATGCTGGATCAGAGAAGCTGTAGAAATCAGGAACCGTGGCAATAAAGGAGTTTATATAAAATCACCGACTTAAGACTTACCTGCATGACCGCCCGGCTTGCCCTGGTGGCGGCCCGGCTTTGCTTCTGAACCAGGGTGGCGGCCCGGCTTGCCCTGGTGGCGGCCCGGCTTGGCTTCTGAACCAGGGTGGCGGCCCGGCTTGGCTTCTGAACCAGGGTGGCGGCCCGGCTTGCCTTCTGAACCAGGGTGGCGGCCCGGCTTTTGATGTTGACCCGGTTCAGCCTCTGACCCAGGGTGGTGGTCCGGCTCAGCCTCTAATCCAGGTTGGTAGTCTGGTTCTGCGTTTGACCCAGGTTGGTGGTCTTGCTTAAGATGTTGATCCGGTTCAGCCCCTGACACAAGGTAGTGGTCTGGCTCAGGATGGGAGCTTGGATGAGCGTCTGGCTCTGGATGACGACCCGGTTCAGCCTCTAATCCGGGATGGTAGTCCGGTTCAGCGTCTGACCCAGGTTGGTGATCTGGCTCGGAATGATGAGCCGGTTCTGAGTCTGACCCAGGTCGGTGATCTGGCTCGGAATGAGCATCTGGCTCAGGATGGGGGCCAGATTCAACCTCTAATCCGGGATGGGAGTCCGGTTCAGTGTTTGACCCAGGTTGGTGGTCTGGTTCAGCATCTGACCCAGGGTGGTAGTCAGGTTCGGGATCTGACCCAGGGTGGTCCGGCTCAGGATGGTGTCCACCATGGTGGCGGTGAGGCTTTGGCCGTCTGCGTCCTGTGAAAAACAAAGTGTCAATACTGTGTAAGTGTAAGAGCTGGGACGAAGCACAGAGGAATGGTCCATGGTCTTCAAACAAATGCAAAAGTATCACAAATCTGGTTACGCACACACAAATCTGTTTACGCACACACAAATATTATTGAAACAATAATAGCTCCATAGTTAGGGCCATTTAATGAAGAGTTGACATAAAATTCTACATATTGCTTACCTCTTTTTGCGTTTTTTAAACTTTTTAGACGTTTTCCCAGAGCCTTGGTCTGGAGCAGCAGCAGCAGCAGCAGCAGCAGGTTTGTGAGAGTCCATCTCTGTAAATGACCAAATTAAAACATCAGAACAAACTCATCATTTACAAACTCCTCCACAAACAGGAAATACAGCATACCAGCCACAGACAGACCGTTGCCATGGGGATTACCCACTCCACCCACATTTTTATAGTCAGTATTACAGTCAAAGCATTTTACAATGTTCAGAGTTCCACACACTGCCGCATCAATGCTCCTCCCACATTCAGACCTTTTGTACATGTTTTTACTGGTAGGGGTAACCGGAGCACCTGGAGGAAACCTACGCAGACACTGGGAGAACATGAAAACCTTCATGCTGTGAAGCACAAGTCCCTGTGCCACCCAATACACAAATACAGCTGGACTCTACAGGTTCTAAGCTATATAGGGTTAGGGTTAGGGTTGTGAATGTATTGGAGCTTAAGTTGGCTGGATGACTCTGGGAAAGCCTCAATGGGCCAAATGACATGAGACAGCTGTCCTTTGTTAGAACATGCTTGATCTAATAAAAACGTTGTAGCTTTAACCGTGAGAGAGCCTCAGTCTGGATACAATAATAAATACATCAGAGGCAGTTCACGTTTTGAGGAAGACTGCCCCAATGAAAGACAGCTTTAGATCATATCTGAGAGATTTAAGATTATAACTAGTAATAATCCATGTTAGTTTCACTGCTGAGTTACTTCAAACGCATCAAACATGAACAGTTCATAAACAAGGCAACTCAAAGTGCTGAACAAAATAACATAGAAAACAATCACACAAAGCGTTTAAATCATAAATTATCACAGTGCATTAAAAAGATAGAATCCTTCAGTTTTTGCAGCGAAAAGTTTTTAACCTGGATTTGAACATTGTCAGAGAAGAGGCCTGTCTCTTATTTTCAGGAAGATTGGCCCAGATTTTAGCTGCGTGAATCTGAAATACAGCCTCCCCACGTTTAGTCTTGACTCTGGGCACTAACAGGAGTCCAGTCCCTGTGCTCCTCAGAGTCCCAGCAGGAGTCCAGTCCCTGTGCTCCTCAGAGTCCCAGCAGGAGTCCAGTCCCTGTGCTCCTCAGAGTCCCAGCAGGAGTCCAGTCCCTGTGCTCCTCAGAGTCCCAGCAGGAGTCCAGTCCCTGTGCTCCTCAGAGTCCCAGCAGGAGTCCAGTCCCTGTGCTCCTCAGAGTCCCAGCAGGAGTCCAGTCCCTGTGCTCCTCAGAGTCCCAGCAGGAGTCCAGTCCCTGTGCTCCTCAGACTTGGTTCTTATGGCACTAGCATGTCACAGATGGACGTTGGTGTGAGGCCCTGGAGAGACTTTTACACAAACTATAAATATATATTCATACACATACATAAACAATCATTAACAGTTTAACCATTACAAATGTATCGTCTCAAAATGGAGTTGGAAGAGGAAATAGGAATAGACTAGTTATAGTGTCTTAATCTCAATAGTAATCTGTATTATTATTGGACAGGCTTCTTCTCTGACAATGTTCAAATCCAGGTTAAAAACTGTTATTTTTGAGTGCAACAATATTCTCTCTTTTTAATGCAATGTGATTTATGTTTCCTCTTTTGTACAAACAAACTTGCCTATCAACATTATCAATGACATCATAAACTTCTTCAACACTGACCTGGCAATGGTTTTAGCAGGACGCAGGCTCAGACCAGAACAGAACGAGTCTGTGCTCATAAATAACTTGCATTTAGTCCAAAAACCGAATATATCCCGCTCTAGTCCGCTCCAGTCCGCTCCAGTCCGCTCCGTGGGAGTCTCCGAAGGTCACTTCCTGGAAGACACTCGAACCGGTTCTGATCTAAATGAAATACGTGAAATGGGCGCGTCTATTATTTATTTATTTACATCACTAAGCCCTTTGAGTATCAACATCAACGCGCGCGATCGTGACGTACAGGGACGTAAAGTTATCAATGCATTTAAAAAGTCTATCTGCAGAAGAGAGAGAGAGAGAGAGTTACAGAGATTGTGCAGGATAAAAGTGGTCCATTCGTTTCATTGGAAAACAAAAGAAAACTTGAGCGGTCCAGTGCGCCCCCGTGTGGTAGGTTTGGTTATCACAGCGGGCCTGTTGCTGCAGCTGTCCTCTCAACAATCTCTACTTCAAAGTCCCTAAGCGCGTCACTATACGAGTTCATGCTTGTATAGTGAGTATTCAAATAGATATTAGGGCGGCACGGTGGCTGAGTGGATACTAGCACTCGCTTCTCAGCATAAGGTCGTTGCTTCGAATCCCGGTCAGGATAGGGCCTCTCTGAGTGGAGTTTGCATGTTCTCCTCGTGTATCAGTGTCATAGTTGCACATAACAGCAGAGAAAAAGATGGAAATGAGACAGAACAGAGACAGTTCAGAGAATATACAGGAATACTTGTGAAATATGAGAGATTTTTGAAATAGATTTGACAGTATTAGTAACAAACAAATAATCCAATAATAAAAACGGTCAGAAGCAGCTCACATTACTATCTTTATTTTCTCACACACACAACATGCAAACTACTTATTGTTCAAATACTAAAGTGCAGCAGAATCAAGTCATCGGAACAAAATAAAGATCTAAATTATTGCACATTCCTCAAAGCAAACAAAAGGTTTCACAGGAGTCTGTCTGAGGGGAAGACTCAAAACTTACAACTGTATCATATATTTCTTTATCGTAAACATCAAAAACACTTAGTCCAGGACGCAGGAGGCTGTGTGTGGGGCTGCGTTCAAGCAAAGACACGCGGAAAATACGGCTTTTCCCGCTCAAAACAATGGGAATTAAGGAAGATTCCGTCGTTATCTTTGAGCAGGGGTGTCCAAACTTTGTTGTAAGAGGGCCACATTAGTTATCCAGACTTGTCAACGGGCCAACAACCCTGATTGTAAAACTGTTTTGACTGGATTCAGTCTGTTTGAGGCTTTGAAATGTGGCTACATAAGCACCCTACATGGTTCTCAGCTTTACAACATAGCATGACTACGTTGGTGGAGCTTAAGTTGGCTGGATCATGACAGGAAGTCCATGCTCGCAGCGCCTCATCCGTTACTCATTGTTGGCGAGGCAGAGGGCCAAATGAAATGACGCAGTGGGCCGCATTTGGCACTCGGGCCTCAGTTTGGACATGCCTGTCTTAGAGTTGATGTCTCTCTAGTGTTAGCCTTGTTTTTTAACTGTATTTTATCTTATTTAAGGTTTTTTTATTTATTTAATGAATGTAAGTCAACTTTGAGTGTTTAGAAAGACGCCTAAGAAATAAAATGTATGATTGTGTTTTTATTAACGCGGAGGAAGCCGATTTGAACGTGATCTAGCTAGAGGCAGACATGTTGCTAAGACGGTTGCTAAGGCAAGCTGGGGTTTCGCCTGTGAATGAAAGCATCTGATTGGTCGATCCTTACACGGCTCATATCTGGATTCACAAAGACATTATCAGAATATAAACACCAGCATCACAGAGAGCAACATGAGGAGTGTGAGCCAGAGCGAGTTGGAGCAAAACTTCGTCCATGAGCACTTCCCTATAGGGCCTCAATGAGCTCGAGGGTTATTAGCATTGTCCATTTGTATCCAGTCCATGCTCAAGACGCTTTTACAGACAAGAAATCTGATACATATCTCCATTTACAAATAAGAAAAGACATTTCACAGACTCTGGGAAAAGCGCAGTGTAAAAGACCTTAAGTTAAAGCTGGGGTACTTAACTTTCAGGAATAACACACGTTTGTCCCAGAAAGTGGTTTGAGGTTTGAAAGTTACGGACCTCAGCTTTAAGGCGTCTTTGGATGGAGCATTACTCAAACTATAAATATGTATTATTACAGATCTGTCTATGTTCTCTCTCTGGTCTCTCTCTCTCTCCTCTCCCCTCTCCTCCCTCCTCTGCTCTCTCTCCTCTCCCCTCTTCTCTCTCCTCTCCTCCCTCCTCTCTCTCCTCTTCTCCCTTCTCTCTCCTCTCCTCCCTCCTCTCTCTCCTCTCCTCCCTCTTCTCTCTCCTCCCTCCTCTCTCTCCTCTCTCTCCTCCCTCCTCTCTCTCCTCTTCTCCCTCCTCTCTCCCTCTTCTCTCTTCTCTCTCCCCCCTCCTCTCTCCCTCTCCTCACTCTCCTCCCTCCTCTCTCTGTCTTCTCCCTCCTCTCCTCTCTCTTCTCTCTCCTCCCTCCTCTCCTCTCTCCTCTCTCCTCCCTCCTCTCTCTCCCTCCTCTCTCCCTCCCTCCTCTCCTCTCTCCTCCCTCCTCTCTCTCTCTCTCTCTCTCTCCTCCCTCCTCTCTCTCTCCTCCTTCCTCTCTCTTCTCCTCTCTCCTCCTCCTCCTCTCTCTCTCTCCTCTCTCTCTCTCCTCTCCTCCTCTCCTCCTCTCCTCTCCTCTCTCCTCTCTCTCCCTCCTCTCTCTCCCCTCTCCTCTCTCCTCTCCTCCTCTCTCTCTCTCTCTCTCCTCTCTCTCTCCTCTCTCTCTCCTCTCTCCTCCTCTCTCTCCTCTCTCTCCTCCTCCTCTCCTCTTCTCCTCCTCTCTCCTCTCTCCTCTCTCTCTCTCCTCCTCTCCTCCTCTCTCTCTCTCCTCCTCTCTCTCTCTCCCTCCTCTCTCTCCTCCTCTCCTCTCTCCCTCCTCTCCTCCCTCCTCTCACCTCTCTCCTCTCTCCTTCCTCTCCTCCTCCTCTCTCTCCTCCTCTCCTCTCTCTCCTCCGTCCTCTCTCCTCTTCTCTCTCCTCCCCTCCCTCCTCTCTCTGTCTTCTCCCTCCTCTCCTCCCTCCTCTCTCTCCTCTCCTCCCTCCTCTCTCTCCTCCTCTCCTCTCTCTCCTCCGTCCTCTCTCCTCTTCTCTCTCCTCCCCTCCCTCCTCTCTCTTCTCTCTCCTCCCTCCTCTCCTCTCCTCTCTTCTCTCTCCTCCCTCCTCTCCTCTGTCTTCTACAGGCTTTGGTCTGTATCTCACATCTTTTCTTTCATTCACACATTTAACATTTCAAATCAATCATAGTTTTTTTAGGGGAGTCATTTGAGTTTTTGAGTTGGCAGATGCAGGAGGATCTAAAACAATTATTAACAATTATTAACATTTCTGGACAGTGGTTACTCCGCCCCCTATGGACGGAACAAAGACTGAACTTCTGTTTTGCAAGAAGCCATTTCACATCACGTCAGACTAGAATACAATTTACAACAGTTTCTCAACACACAATCTTTTACTTTTTTGTGTCGCTAAATGTTAAAGGAGCAGTGTGTAAACATGTGGCCAAAAGTGGTACTGCAGCCTCTCCCACTCTCCCTGACTCAGGTTGCCAGATATGCAGACGAATCCAGCTGGGACCATAACAGCTGAATAGACAAGAGTTTTGTCAACAACAAATCTATAACCAACACTTTTTTCACAAAGATAGAAATCCTGGTTTTATTCCTTGTTTTGTTAATTATTTGAGAATCATAACGAGACCTTTTTTAGTTCTGCGCCACATGGTACTTTACCAGTGAGATTAGCTCCACACAGTGAGTTCTGGCGCCCGGATCACAGACTTTCTGATTGGTGAAACGGTGGAGGGCGGGACATCGAAATGAAAACAATAACAAGATTTAGAGGCTGGAAAAGTCATTTAGAAATTCAAATATCTCTGAACTACTGTTATCAGTTAAAGAAGTGTTGGAAAAGAGCAGTTTATTATGACAGATTAGCTACTTTAAAGAAATATAATTTTTTTCCGTACAAAAGACGACCTTCAGTGTTTTTTAAACTGGATCAACAAACGTGAAAAAGTTTTTTGAGACGATTGTCGTGATTTACGGCGATACACAAATATCTGGAGTTGAATTTGATTTGAATTTTTGTGATTTTAGGCGTCTGACAGCTTGGCTTTTTCAGGATATAAAAACAAAGTCATAAAATATATTCTAGAAAAGGAGGTTTATTTTTTTAAGTTTGAAAAAAAAGAATTAATTTTGTAGTTTAGTATGTATATAAATATAAATATATATAAGTGATCAAGTGTGATTTATAGCCTTTAGAGGGCTCTGATAGATAAATACTGTGAATATACATGACCCAAACATGCACGAACGATATCGAAGGAGAGATGTCTGGATGTAAGCTGAGTGAAGTCCCTGTCTCCTGTGGCGCCCCCTGCAGGCTGGAGGGGGTCAGATTCTCCTGTGGCGCCCCCTGCAGGCTGGAGGGGGTCAGATTCTCATGTGGCGCCCCCTGCAGGCTGGAGGGGGTCAGATTCTCCTGTGGCGCCCCCTGCAGGCTGGAGGGGGTCAGATTCTTCTGTGGCGCCCCCTGCAGGCTGGAGGGGGTCAGATTCTCCTGTGGCGCCCCCTGCAGGCGGGAGGGGGTCAGATTCTCCTGTGGCGCCCCCTGCAGGCCGGAGGGGGTCAGATTCTCCTGTGGCGCCCCCTGCAGGCGGGAGGGGGTCCAATTCTCCTGTGGCGCCCCCTGCAGGCTGGAGGGGGTTAGATTCTCCTGTTGCAGTGTTTGGAGTGACAGTCCTTCACGGGGCCCAGACACTTCACGCCCTCCATCAGCATCGGCGTCCCGTGGTGAGGGTCTGAGGAGGGGCAGAGAGCAGACAGTTACGGCAGGACAACAGCTGGGAAAGGCCGGCGTGTTGATTGGACCCGTGTCAATGTTTTGCCAGGACAGGAACCATAGCAAACATTGTACTGATTCTCATCCACACAGAGCAATATCAACTTTTTCAAACATATTTTTCACCAGAATAACTTTATAAAGGAAAGAGCAGAACATGCAACAGCCTAAACTCTGAGGGTATAAGAGCTTCATTCACCCAAACACAGCTCCACGGCTCGTCATGCTCTCATTATGCAAAGTATTGTCCTCTCCCTGGTGTTTTATCACCGTCTAAATTACAGATATATTTGGTTGCAGTGAGAGAAAAGGACTAGATCATGAGGCGGGTTAAATACTGGGGGATTCCAGGGACATGCAGCTGAAATCTGGAACAGTCTTCCTGAAAACGTGAGACAGGTTTCTTCACTGACAAGGTCCAAATCCAGGTTAAAAACAGAGCATACAAATAAACGTACCTGCCTTCCTGCCTATGGTATTTGTAAAAGGTCTCATTACTTATAAAACATCATAGATTTTAAACATTTATTAGCATTACAGTAACAATATTAGTCAGCAGACTGTGACAGATCCAGACCACTGAAACTAAGCAGGGTAGGGCATGGTTAGTGCTGTGATGGGAGACCTCTGGGAACACAGACCCGTGGCCATGCTTCTGTCAGTCTGCCCCCGGTTGTAAATCAAAACATTTCTCTCCAAACTTCAGTCCAGGGTGTATGGAGCTCCATGTTCCTCACCGATGATCTTGGCCTGGAGTTTGACCTTCAGGCTGCTGTTGCTCTTCCCTTTGGCCACGATGGTCAGCTCCTCCTGCAGCACCCCCTCCTGGTGAGCCTTGTACTCACACGTCACCTTCACGCCACCTAAAAACACGGGAGACAGTCGCCGTTTGGAGCAGATTTACGCTGGGGGAAAACGATGGGAAATAAGAGAAAAATTGCTCAAATTTGGCTAAATGCATCTTCATTCTGACTTTGCCTTAAAACCTGCCTTAATATCTGCCAATGGGACAACGCATAATTATTTTATTTTTAAAGATACTGTAGAATGTACTAGAATTTAGATAAAAACACTCGATTCAAGCCATTTTTACCTCATATTTGATCATATGTGTTTATGTATATGTATATTTATGTATTTTTATATCTCTTATACATGTACATATACACACATACATATACATACATATACACACATACATATACATGTACATATACACACATACATATACACACATACATATACATACATATACACACATACATATACATGTACATATACACACATACATATACACACATACATATACATGTACATATACACACATACATATACACACATACATATACACGTACATATACACACATACATATACACACATACATATACATACATATACACACATACATATACATGTACATATACACACATACATATACACACATACATATACACGTACATATACACACATACATATACACACATACATATACATGTACATATACACACATACATATACATGTACATATACACACATGATGGCGGTGACAGTAGCTCAGTTGGTAGAGCATTGGCCTTCAGGCCTGAAGGTCGTGGGTTCAATTCCAACCTCTACACCTTCTCCACTGACTCCCACTGATGACTGCTGTCGTTGTGTCCTTGGGCAAGACACTTAACCCCACTTTGCCCAAAAGCCCCCACTGAAAGATCAAGGCTATGCTCACACTCAGAGAGCAGCCGTCCTCCTGTGGACTCACCACCTGCAGAGGGTCAGTGAGGGGCTGGTGCTATGAGACTTGGGTGGCATCTCTGACTGCCACCCCCCTGACCCAGAAATGGATTAAAGGGTAGACAATTGATGGATGGATGTGTTTACACACATACATGTACATATACACACATACATATACAGACATACATGTACATACACATATATATATACACACACACATACACAGGGTGAATGGTTGGGGGGTGGGGGGAGTATAGTCTCTAATATAGAGAAAGATTTGGTTAAAATTCTATAAACATCATCTTCTCATAAGAACTGAAAAAGTCATTGTCATTGTTTTTGGTCCCAATGTGTATGGCTCTAAGAAAACAAAAAAATGACAACAAATCTGTACAGCCTGTGTGAGAGAGCAGATCCCTCCCTCCGAGGTTTCTCACTTTTTGGTCCTTGCAGATGTCGGAAGGTCCAGGACGTGACGACATTTATGGACATTGGTGTTTTTAGTAAACTTCATTTAGATGTGTGTGTTATGTATGAATGTAGAGAATGTCGTGTAAGTGTGTTGTGTTACTGTTGTGTAAGTGTGTATCTCTGACCTTCCAGGGTGGAGCTGACCCTCTGGATGCGCAGGTGCGGGGCCCGTCTGGAGGGGGAGGCGGTGCTGCTGCAGGACAGGTCTTTACCCACAGACGGGACATCAGGGACCAGGAAGACCAACTCATACACACAGTGGCTCTTCAGGAAACCAGCCTGAAGAGAGAGGGGGAGAGGGGGGAGAGGGAGAGAAAGAGAGAGAGAGAGAGAGAGAGAGAGGGAGAGAGAGAGAGAGAGAGAGAGAGAGAGAGAGAGGGAGAGAGAGAGAGAGAGAGGACAAGTAAGTAATCTTAAATATATTATTTAAATATTACGGTGCAATTGATAGAGTTTCTTCTTGTTAAATATTACTCTGAGGAGCACAGGGACTGGCCTCCTGCTGGGACTCTGAGGAGCACAGGGACTGGCCTCCTGCTGGGACTCTGATGAGCACAGGGACTGGCCTCCTGCTGGGACTCTGAGGAGCACAGGGACTGGCCTCCTGCTGGGACTCTGAGGAGCACAGGGACTGGACTCCTGCTGGGACTCTGATGAGCACAGGGACTGGCCTCCTGCTGGGACTCTGAGGAGCACAGGGACTGGCCTCATACAGACCTTGACTAAGTAGCTGTTGTCCTTCTCTCTCAGGGCGACGAGCGAGCACAGGTGCGAGTCCTCGTCTCGCCGCGTGGGAGACCCGGGCGGGGCCTCGTCGTCAGGGAAACGGACGGCGCCTTTGGACGTGGAGCCTGCAGCAGAACCACAGACACACAACGGTTTGTTTTTATTTAGACTTTTTAGTGCTGACAATCAAAAACGTATTCAATTATAGATATAAAAAGCACACACACACACACACACACACACACACGTACACAGATATACATACACACACAGATATACTTACACACACAGAGATACACAAACACACACACACATGTACACAGATATACATACACACACAGATATACTTACACACACATACAGTAGATAGATTCGCGTACGCACATTCATGTAAACTTGTGACTGTGTGGGATGACACACACAGAGATAAAAACACACACATACACACACACAAACAATCATGTACACGCAAATACACACACAGATATAAAAATAGATACACCCATAAACACACACACACACACACACATACACGTTTTTGTTACCTGGTGGGTCCCTTTGACAGGGCCGTTCAGAATGGGACCCATAGACATAATCTTTTTTACTGGGACTTCTTTAAGTAATACAAAACAGTCAATAGAAACCAAACAACTCTTTTAAAGGAATTTTATTTTAGATTTTTTTTTCGAATTGCAGTGATTCTATTTTTGACATAGAATTTAATGCCACTCCATGTCCGATGTCTAAGGTCATCTGGTGAGGCATTAATGCAGGCCAGGCAGTGAGACTTCCCAGGGACCTTTCCAGTCTGTATGAAAGGTGTCATGGTCTTCTCCACAGCCTTCACCTCAGATGCAGACCATGGCTTTCTTACACGTTCTAGGGAGAGAAATAAAAATATATTAGCAATATACACTCCCAGGGTTAGGACCAAGCAGCCTGGCTGTAATCCCCCACCTGGTACACTTACCAGAAGGGGCACTGCCACTACCATGGGGTGCATCTGGATGAATGGTTGAAGGTTCTCCGCTTGAAGTTTCTTTTAGCCCGTCCGTTTGTGAGAGGATCTCTACTGCTCTCCCTGTCGCACAGAAAATAAAAATACAAGTGGCCTTTAGGGGAAAAAAATCATACATATTTTAATAATATCAAGAATTACCTTCAGGCTCAATTTGTATCTGGTCGAGGCTCTTTCCTTCGAATTCCGTCACTCTTCCCTGCTCCATGGCCATCAACACTTTGCTGATTTTGGCCAGCTCCAGTGTCCCCTCTGGTAGTCTGTAATATTGCCTGTGGATGCGAATGTCATGGCCGAGGAAGTTGGCAAGTATGTCCATCTCATTCTCTTTCATATTGAGAACTGTAGACATAGTAGCTATGTGCTTTCTAAGTTTGGTTGAGGATAGCATCTCTGGATGCACCGCACCACATTCTTTGGCTACCTGGCGTAGGGAGTCTGATCCCCTGATGTGGGTGTCTGCGCCCGGGCGGGAAAAGAAGTATGGGTTATGGTCAGAGATGGAACAGGCCCTTCTGTTCTCCACCAGCACCTCCATCGAAGCAATCATTTCAGGAGTCAAAAGAACCGGCACTTTCCGACTTCTTTTCCCTTTAATTTCAATGCGTTGAAAATGCTGACACAGCTTTTTCTCAAGTTGGGACAGTCCCAGAGCAATGTCAGAATGGATCCCAGTCTTACTTCTTAAGGTAAAGGCTGTCAGTGGCATCTTTGAAACCTCACCTTCCCTTCTTCGATTGAAAATAATGACCTCACAAAGAGTCAAAACTGCCAGTTTAGACCAATGCTTAGACGTTGGCTCACTTATTAGGGTTTGCACATATTCAGGTCGACATACCTCAATATGTGCATGCATGGCTCTAACGTCCTCAGTCAGAGGGAGCAGGTCCGGAGTGTTCCACTTGGCTTGCCGGAGGGTCTGTAGGGCAGCAGAAGAAACACAGACGTCCCACCTCTTCTCAAAAAGCAGCCGGCTTCGTTGGAGGTTTTTAATAAATAGTTCATCAACACAATGCTCCATTTTTGAGTCACATTCAAGAATATCTGCTAGCTTTCTGAGGCTATGGCCGAGTTTGAGGGCCAAGGATGGAGTCTGGTATTGATTTGTTTCCTCATCATATCCAGCCACAGACCTGACTGCATCAATCACATGGTTAAAGTTGGAAGGAATAAAGAAATCCTTAATTGTTTTCAGTTTCCCTGCAGTTTTTGCTTTGTTAATTAACCTACCGACTTCTCTCATTTTCTGCCTAATGTAATCATGCTTAGTCTTATCATGCCCGTGTTTTAAGTACAGGTGCTCTCCGAGTCTCAGAATCCCCTTTTCTGCTTTGACAACACCCGTGACCTCATCCTGATGCATTGCCGAAATTAAAGACCACAGCTTTTTGCTGATGCCCTCCGGTACAGGCTGGGCTAGGGAGCAGAGGGACTGGACCCTACTTCTACCTGGTTTAGCCTGGGCATCTTTCTGTGAAAGCCGGCACCTGGCCACATGCCTCCACAGCGACTTTCGCTTAAGCAATGCCCCACAGTCTATACAGTGCAAAAACTCACTGGATTTAACTGGGGAATTTGGCTGTTTAGCTGGGACTAAAGTTCCAATGCCGGCCTTTAAAACCTCAAAATTGTGCTCACGGTTTCCACTATTCCTGATCAAATCAAACTGAAGTTTACGTGCTTTAGATTTCACAGGTAGAGCCAATGCTCTGGCTACGTCACTTTCATTTCCATGTTTTCTAGTCAAATGACGGGACATTTTGTGGCAGGACATTGAACAGTAGAGGCAGAAGTGTCTCTTGCTGTAAACCCTGCCCCCATTTTTCTTCTTTTGCAGCTGCATGATAACAATCTTATTTGCCTTTGGTTCGTCACTTTCCGAGTCTTGAAGAAAAGTGTTTTTGATTTTTCTTTTTCCATACTTTTTTACAGGTTTCTTCTTGACAGTTAAATCGTCAGAATCCGAGTCGACTTCATCAATTAGGGACTCTTGACTAAGCTGCACAAACAACAAATAATTTGTAATCATTCTATATAACAATTTGAAGTCATGACTTGTAGTCAGCACTTACCAGTGGTTTGTAAGCGTGCGCTTCAGTGTGCTCCTCCATGATTTCTTGCAGCCTAATGAACCACACACTTGCACCTTTTTCTAGCCTGACACCTGATTTCCTCTGTTGTGCTGCTCCATGATTGGCTCCAGCCTGCTGGACTGAAATTGCCCCAGTGTGCCCCTCCTTGATATCCCGCAACCCACCACCAGGGTTCCGACACATAACACACTTTTTTCAGGAAAGTAAACCTCCAGGGGTCCTTTCCATATTTTTACAGAGACTGCATAAGGACCGTTAGAAAAGCATTACCCATTGATTATTAAGCTTGGACCAGTGGGGTCCGGTGTTCGGGCCCCACCACGTAAAACCAGTCCCCATGACGTGAGTGGAATCTCAGGTTATGGAACCCACCAGGAGTTGAAAACAAGTGCAGACATGCACAGTCTGTATTCACACACACATGCTAAAATATACACAAACACACACACACTACATACTGTACATACACAAATATAAACACATGCGCACACACAAAGAGATATACATAGATACACACACACACACAGATGTACATGTACACACACACACACACACACACACACACTGCTGCAGGATGTGGTGATGTTTATTTGTTGTGAACGTATGGAACCAAAGTGTCAAACACATTAATGATCTTTAGGCACTGAGGCAGAGAGAGACCAGAGAGAGACCAGAGTGAGACCAGAGTGAGACCAGAGTGAGAGACCAGAGAGAGACCAGAGAGAGACCAGAGAGAGACCAGAGAGAGACCAGAGAGAGACCAGAGTGAGAGACCAGAGAGAGACCAGAGAGAGACCAGAGAGAGACCAGAGAGAGACCAGAGGGAGACCAGAGTGAGACCAGAGAGAGACCAGAGAGACACCAGAGGGAGACCAGAGTGAGACCAGAGTGAGAGACCAGAGAGAGAGACCAGAGAGAGACCAGAGAGAGACCAGAGAGAGAGACCAGAGAGAGAGACCAGAGAGAGAGACCAGAGAGAGACCAGAGAGAGAGACCAGACAGAGACACGAGAGAGACCAGAAAGAAAGACCAGAGAGAGACCAGGGAGAGACCAGAGAACAAATTAAAAAATATGTTGAAAATTAAATTACTAACATTAAAATAAAAAATACATAAAAAACAAAAAAGTATTTAACTTCTCTGTTACTTTGTTGTGGTCGTAGTCGTACTTTTTTCTAGTGTAAAAATAAATTTAAGTCCAATGTGTCACCTTTTCGCCCAGTCGCCATGGTGATCAGGAGAGTATCAGCCAATCACGGTGCGACGTCATCACTGTCTCTCTGCGGAAACAGGAAGTGGGAAAAGAAGGACAAAGATGGAGTTATGTAACAGACAAAACACTAAACCGCTGTGACTGCTGCTGGAGATGGACCTTTTGTCATTTTCTGTCAAAAATGTTCTCCTCAGATTCACCTGGAGCGACAGGAGGAAATCCTGTCAGAGATAAGGACAAGTTCAACTGAGTAAAAATGTATAGTAAATTTCTCAATGTTTTTATTATGGCCTTGCTGCAAGAACGTTCTGTGTCAGAGAGCTCTCTGTGTGTTTTCTGAGTTTGCATGTTCTTCACGTTGTCTGAACAGGTTTTCTCCAGGTGCTCCAGGTCCCCAGCCTCTAAATAATGGTTTAATAAAGGGCTTTTTGACACTCAAAGATGCTTCATATGTCATTATGCATTTACTCCTACATGGTGACCAGAAAGAGATCAGAGAGAGATAAACCAGAGGGAGAGACCAGAGAGAGACCAGAGAGAGACCGAAGAGTGACCAGAGAGAGACCAGAGAGAGACCGAAGAGTGACCAGAGAGAGACCGAAGAGTGACCAGAGAGAGACCAGAGAGAGATAAACCAGAGGGAGACCAGAGAGAGACCGAAGAGTGACCAGAGAGAGACCGAAGAGTGACCAGAGAGAGACCAGAGAGACCAGAGAGAGACCAGAGAGAGACCGAAGAGTGACCAGAGAGAGACCAGAGAGAGACCGAAGAGTGACCAGAGAGAGACCGAAGAGTGACCAGAGAGAGACCAGAGAGAGACCAGAGAGAGACCAGAGAGAGACCGAAGAGTGACCAGAGAGAGACCAGAGAGAGACCGAAGAGTGACCAGAAAGAGATCAGAGAGAGATAAACCAGAGGGAGAGACCAGAGAGAGACCGAAGAGTGACTAGAGAGAGACCAGAGAGAGACCAAAGAGTGACCAGAGAGAGACCAGAGAGAGACCAGAGAGAGACCAGAGAGAGACCAGAGAGAGACCGAAGAGTGACCAGAGAGAGACCAGAGAAAGACCGAAGAGTGACCAGAGAGAGACCAGAAAGAGACCAGAGAGAGACCGAAGAGTGACCAGAGAGAGACCAGAGAGAGACCAGAGAGAGACCAGAGAGAGACCAGAGAGAGACCGAAGAGTGACCAGAGAGAGACCAGAAAGAGACCAGAGAGAGACCGAAGAGTGACCAGAGAGAGAACGAAGAGTGACCAGAGAAAGACCAGAGAGAGACCAGAGAGAGACCAGAGAGAGGCCAGAGAGAGAGACCAGAGAGAGAGACCAGAGAGAGACCAGAGAGAGACCAGAGAGAGACCAGAGAGAGGCCAGAGAGAGAGACCAGAGAGAGAGACCAGAGAGAGACCAGAGAGAGGCCAGAGAGAGACCAGAGAGAGGCCAGAGAGAGACCAGAGAGAGACCAGCGAGAGACCAGAGAGAGACCAGAGAGAGAGACCAGAGAGAGAGAGAGAACAACTGGAGGACACTGACACAGATATGGGGGAAGACCTAAGAAACACAACAAACATGTCTGATGCCAGCTTCTGTCAGTCTGCGCCAGGGCAGCTGTGGCTCAAACTAGTGGTCTCACTCTGGTCTCACTCTGGTCTCACTCTGGTCTCACTCTGGTCTCACTCTAGTCTCACTCTAGTCTCACTCTAGTCTCATTCTGGTCGATGTATTGATATTGAAGCATTTACAGCTGGCTATGAAACATAGCAGCTACTTATATTGTATATTTTGTTTTTCTTTGTGTTGAAACTTACCCACTGTGAGAGACCGGAGTGAAGGAACAGTGTGAGACCGGAGTGAAGGAACAGTGTGAGACCGGAGTGAAGGAACAGTGTGAGACCGGAGTGAAGGAACAGTGTGAGACCGGAGTGAAGGAACAGTGTGAGACCGGAGTGAAGGAACAGTGTGAGACCGGAATGAAGGAACAGTGTGAGACCGGAGTAAAGGACGGCGGCAGGTTCACATGTTTGGCCTTTATCCATAATGTATGAAGAGATCACAGCTGCAGCTGAGGCAGCACTTTACTCTCAACTCGAGATCGAAGAGAGTAAAGCGAGAAAAGTCATCTCTGAAGAGCCCGGACTCGGACATGTTACTGCTGTGCTTGGTCTGAGTCTTTCTGGTCCCTCTCTGGTCTCTCTTTGGTCTCTCTTTGGTCTCTCTCTGGTCTCTCTCTGGTCTCTCTCTGGTCTCTCTCTGATCTCTCTCTGGTCTCTCGTCTCTCTTTGGTCTCTCTCTCTGGTCTCTCTCTGGTCTCTCGCTGGTCTCTCTCTGGTCTCTCGCTGGTCTCTCTCTCGTCTCTCTTTGGTCTCTCTCTCTGGTCTCTCTTTGGTCTCTCTTTGGTCTCTCTCTGGTCTCTCTCTGGTCTCTCTCTGGTCTCTCTCTGGTCTCTCGTCTCTCTTTGGTCTCTCTCTCTGGTCTCTCTCTGGTCTCTCGCTGGTCTCTCTCTGGTCTCTCGCTGGTCTCTCGCTGGTCTCTCTCTCTGGTCTCTCTCTGGTCTCTCTCTGGTCTCTCTCTCTGGTCTCTCTTTGGTCTCTCTCTCTAGTCTCTCTCTGTGGTCTCTCTCTCTGGTTCATCTCTGGTCTTTCACCCTTTCTGGTGTCTCTCTGGTCTCTGTCTGGTCTCTCCCTTTCTCTCTTTCTCTCCCTCTCTCTCTGGTCTTTCTCTCTTTCTCTCTCTCTCCCTCTCTCCCGAGAGACCAGAGAGAGACAAGAGAGAGACCAGAGAGAGACCAGAGAGAGACCAGAGAGAGACTAGAGAGAGACCAGAGAGAGACTAGAGAGAGACCATAAAGAGACCAAAGAGAGACCAGAGAGAGACCAGAGAGAGACTAGAGAGAGACCAGAAAGAGACCAGAAAGAGACCAGAAAGAGACCAGAAAGAGACCAGAGAGAGACCAGACTCTGAGGAGCACAGGGATGGGAGACTCCTGCTGGTCCCAGAGTCAGGACTAAACATGAGGTGTTTTCAGATTTACGCAGCTAAAATCTAATAAAGTTTTCTTGAAAATGTGAGACAATTTTCTAATCCAGGTTAAAAAAAACAGTTCTGTTTTGCTGCAACAACTGAAGGATTTTATCTTCACTCTTTTTAATGCACTGTTTTTTGTACGGCACAGTTCAAAAAGTAAACAATGCCCATAATCCCATAATCCTTCAGATGTATGAGGAGAACATGCAAACTCCACACATGTAAAGGCCCGGTCTGGAGGTGGACTCAAACCCAGAGAGAGACCAGAGAGACCAGAGAGAGACCAAAGAGAGACCAGAGAGACCAGAGAGAGACCGAGGACCCAGGACCCACTCAAATCATAACCCAAATAATTATGATCCAAAATAATCCTTATACATTCCAACACGAGACTTTGAACTATAAATATTTATTCTTATGTTAAACAAAAGACAAGAGAAGACATGTCACTTGTACTTGACCCAAATCAATGTTAATCAAAACCTTTTCCCAGTAAGGGGCGGATAAAGGATCTCTTAATCTTAATCTTAACCTCGTCAGTTAAAGTGATGCATATTTCTTGTGAATTTGACCCGGGAGCTCCCGGTCTGGCCCGGGTTAGTCACGCGTTAGTAGCCTTCAAAAGCCTCTCACTCTGAGCCATATTTCTTCACTCTCTCGCATCAACCATCAAACTCTGAGCTAAAAATACCCGGGATGCATCGGGGTTAACCTAATTCCACACTTGTCTCGCGGGGCATGGCGCGCGCGACCCAAACAAACACTTGCAACCGAACCAAACGAACCGAACCGAACCAGGCACCGTACCTCCAGACTGCAGCCGCGCGGGGGAGGCCAGGCTCGGACACTGCATCCCGGGATGAGGCGCTGGTCCTGGGGAAGCGTGATGGGATGGGAGGCGTCGGGAGCGCGCGTGGAAGGATGGAGGGAGGGAACGCGCATGGACCATGGGACACTGAGAGAAGCCGACCAATCACAGCGCAGCTTCAGAGCGCGAGAAGAGAGCACAGTGACGAGGCTGAATAACCCCTCCATCTATAACTGTGGTTCTATTTTATATGTATCACAGAATCTCACATCTGTATGAATCTATCCTATTACTCTCCAGAGTCAAAAAACTAGTTCAGAATGACGTCCTGGATACAGTCTGTGTCTGTCCGTAATCATTTGTAAATAAACCCAGACCCACCCAGGTGCATGACGGCCTCTGTACTGCCCCATTTATCCTCTAGCTGCCACTAAACTAAACTGAACTGAACTAAACCCAATATAGTCTCATCTACAAAAAATATCTATATTATCAAAAAGGTACATACAAATATTAACATTAGCAAAAACAAAAAAACTAAATTTAGAAAATGATACAAAACAAAAACCCCAAATATATAACATGAATTTAGCCTCAAACAAATAGCTCTGTTTTCTTCTTTGTGAACCAATGTTTATTATTTACAACATATTATTTCACGGTTGCGATGGATACAGCCTGTGTCTATGGTTCCTGTCTCAATGTGGCTCTCCCTGAAGTTTCTCACCTTTTCTGAGTGGTTTCTGAGGGTTTCTCTCTGGTGCAGGAGGGTCTGAAACAGGGGCAGACGGTGCAGGTGTGGATGGGAAAAGGTGAATCTAAAAATAATGATTTCAGACGTAAAATAAAACCAGGGAAGCACCGTCTCTCTCCTTCAGAATAAGACTTATGTGTTTGTTATCCAGGCATTTCCTGCGTTCGAACGGTTTGATTCTCTGATCTGTTGCGGAAGAATCAACCATTTTGTAAAGTCCTGAGATCTTTGCTGTCATCACTTAGGGTTCTAGAATGATACATAAGATTGAATTGAGATACGTTTAGGATTAGGGTTAAAATTACACACAAATCTATCTTTGACCATGATATTCTCCTTCAGTTCATCTGGTCTCTTCCTGGTCTCCACCTGGTCTTCCCCTGGTCTCCTCCTGGTCTCCTCCTGGTCTTCCCTTGGTCTTCCACCTGTTCT